CCCCTGTTGCCACCAGGGCTCAGCAAGTATGGGGCTCGGAAGGACCAGGAGAGGCGCGTGTCCACCTTGGTGATCTCTGCATAAACCTGCACGGCCACTTCCCGAGGAAGCTCGTCAAGCAGGCGACCCCACAGAGTCTTTACCAGCTTGCCGTAAACGCCATGGTACTCCACCCACTCCTCACACAAAAGCGCATCGGAGCAGTCCGCTGCACCACTCTTTGCAGGATTGAAAATTAACGACATCTCCGACATGTTTTGGTGTACCTCTTCAGAGTACGCATTCGAGCACAAAAGACATAGTGAGAAACACAGGGGGGGTATCCGCACGGGCGATGAATGGCACGGGAGTTGCAAGGCTTGAGATTGGCGAAGAGACGTCAATTCATGCCCGCACGAGAGCTCAAGGTGAAGAGCCCATGGACCTCTCCCAGCTGCTTGTCTGGCGGGCCCCCCCACTTTACCGCACTCAACATCTGTTCTAAGAGCATGATCTGAAGGAGAGCCAGAACATCCTCTATCTGTACAATGAAAATCGAGTGCCCCTGCCATGTACGAGACGGTCATGTCACATGCTTCAGATGCATCCGCGAACGAAAGGATCGGCTTCGCATAAGAAGTGTGGTCCATGAATCTCAAACCAGAGCCGGAAATCTGCCCCCGTCCTTGGAGCTGCCTGCATGATCATCACGTACCCACAGAGTCTTGGGTGTTGGAATGTCCTCACTGCATGGGTGTCTGGCATTCATTTGCTATGCACCAAACAGCCTCCGACATGGAAAATGACATCCAATGCATGCCAACACTTAAATCCATATTGGAGAAAAACAATGCGAGACACCGATCATGCAGAAAGCGGAGAAACATAGGACATTGCAATTCAAACTGTAAAGCTTCAACCGGTCCGAGAGCTCAACACGCCCGGCCTCGCGCAAGTCAGCGTCCAAGTCCCAAAGAGCAATGGTGGGACCCGTCTCATCCGCTCCATAGGAGCAGGGAAGATGTTCAGCTCTTGCACAGGTCCTGGGACAAGTCACAAATCAAGTTGCCTCAAATGGATGACTCGTATTCCTTTGGTTGCAAGGCTGTCAAAAGTAAGCCCAAAAAATGGTGGTGTGGAAGGAGCCAAGCTTCAAGTAGGCAGCCCTGGTCTTGCAAACTTTGCTGTCCGGCTCGAAGGCGCACTCTGCAAGTCGCAGAAACATGCTGGGATCAAAGGAGAAGCGGACTGCCTGCAGGGTCTGGCTGTTGCACTGCAGCCTGGTAATCCATTCCAAAAATGTGGTGGGGCAAGCCTGACGTCCCCACAAGTGCAAGAAACAACCGGCCTTGTAGTTCGTCTTCAGCCACGTGTTGACGGAGCTCCGGTGAAACCCTCCTATACCGCTGCCTGAGCCCTGTGCGTCACTCAAGGCCGCGAGCACGTCGGGCCACGTCTTGTGCACTGGCAACAGGGCCTGGTTCACCGCAGGCTCGTTCACCACCATATTCCTGCGTGAGCTTAGTAGCTTGTCCAGGTCAGGGACTGAGGTGTTTGGAAGGGCAGTGGATGCTTTCCCATTTAGATGTCAACCAAACAAGCGATGTTACCCCTCCCACCTATCAAGGAAGACCATAAATTTGACATTTAGCCGCAAAAAGGTCAAACATCCAGTTCAAGAGATGGCGCACGACTTCTCTCAAACCAACGTGAAGGCAGTTGCATCTCCTGCTTTTACCTCTGAGAGCATGACAGTTTGGCAAGCAGGAGGCTCCCTGAACAAAGCGTACAGCACACAAACCAACAAACAAATATAAGCAAACACAAAAACAAACAAAAAAATAAAACACACCCCAAGAACAACAAACACCCACACAACGGCGCACACACACACACACACACACACACACACGCACGCACGCACGCACGCACGCACGCAAGCGCATACATGCCCAAATGCACACATGCACACATGCACACATACACACATGCACGCAAGCACACAAGAACACATGCACACATGCACACCTGCACGCATTCACACATGCACACATATACACACGCGCACATGCGCACATGCGCACATGCGCACATGCGCACATGCACACATGCACACATGCACACATGCACACATGCACACATGCACACATGCCTACATGCACACATGCACACACGCACACATGCACACATGCACACATGCACACATGCACACATGCACACATGCACACATGCACACATGCACACATGCACACATACACGCACACACACACACACACAGACACACCCACCCACCCACCCACCCACCCACCCACCCACCCACCCACCCACCCACCCACCCACCCACCCACCCCCGCCCCCGCCCGCCCGCCCGCCCGCACGCGCACGCGCGCACGCACGCACACGCACACAGCACACGCACACGCACACGCACACGCACACGCACAAGCACAAGCACACGCACGCACGCACACACACACACACACACACACACACACACACACACACACACACACACACACACACACACACACACACACACACACACACACACACACACACACACACACACACACACACACACACACACACACACACACACACACACACACACACACACGCACACGCACGCACGCACGCACGCACGCACGCACGCACGCACGCACGCGTTTGCCCACGCACACGCAAACGCACATGCAATGGCACACCGCACACGCACACGCACACGCACACGCACACGCACACGCTTACACACACGCCCACACGCACGTCACACAGGCAGGCACGCCCGCACGCACACACACACACACACACACACCTGACTGCAGAAGAAGCTCGGGGGCGAAACGAATCCTTTGTACTGCGCTGACTCGCCACTGACACGGCTACAGCACTGCGTGGTAAAACTACATGCAACGCACATGGCTCCTTCCTCCTGAACCCCTGGTTGTGGGACCATATAAACAATGCACCTTGGCTTTGGACTACTCATCTCGTCTTTGGTGTCTAACCTTTGCATCACTGCCCAAAAGAATCATATTGTGCCTGCTATCTCCAACGCTGGTGGTTGCCATTCTGCGGGCCTTTGCCAGGCCTTTGAACGTTGCGATTTAGACCGAAAGAATGCTTATTCTCGGTACTCGACCCTAGCGCATTTGCCCCCGGTCTGCTTAGGTTTGACAGCCTCACCTGGTCTGAGTGTTCATCGCGAGGTCATCTTCGAAGGCATTCAGCTGCACCACCAGCAGCTCTGCACTCAGCGGGTCCGCACCTGCATGGACCCTTGGCTCAACACAGCAACCCGCCTATCCGCCGAATGCTTGCAGAAAAGTAGACAAGTCCTACACACTTTGGACCTGCCTTCCGTAGGCTCACCATGAGGTTTTCGGCGAGCAACGGTTTGGTTTGCCGAGCTTTCACCGAATTGGCCCAAAGCTGCCACAAACAGTTTCCGCCTGCTACAGATGACCATCTCTTGTGGCAGTTGCAGGGACAATTGGGTCAGCTCAGCGTGTCTTTTGAGGAAGCCGCTTGACCATATATGCCACAGGAGTGAGTCTAAGCATGAAGAGGCAAGCATCCCATGATGCCAACATCATCAACATAAATTCATCAGGATGCTGCTTGTGCTTGTCTACAGAGCATAATGGTTCGTCGCTGCAGTGCCATCGTGTTTCCTGACTGGCGGAGTTGATTCGCTGCAGAAAAACGAGCCGTTCGGTCAAATCTCCCATGCTATCCGGAGATGGGTTGGTCAGTTAGTTGGCCTTTTTTTTTGTTGCTTGGTGGGTGGGTGGGCCGGTCGGTCGTTTGATTGGTTGGTTTTGAAGCGGCATTCTGGCATGAAATGCGGGCTAATCCGATTATTGATCATGAGCTTCGTCGTTGCAACGTCTTTTTCCGCAGCAGGTCTGTCTGCATTGCTTCAACCAGCAATTTCAGGATGAATGGATGAATGGAGCGCTGCTGCATGGGGCCAAACAAAGAGCTTCTATGAACTTCCACCCTCCTAGTGCCAAAAAAAGACATCTGTCCAACCCTTCCTGGCAGCTTCCATCAAAGGCTAGGTATGTTAGCACGATGCATGCCGTCCCGCCTGTGACGCGCACAGCTTCCGGCAGAAGGGTAGAAGCCGCCAGGCACAAGCTCCAGAGCTTCGCCATGGAAATAGATTTGGCAAACAACGGCCGAGCGACTTTGCTTCTTGAGCCCAGAAGTCATTGGGATGTTTCTCGGGGTTGACTCCTTTTCCATTCTTTTCAGCCATCGTTCTTTGCAATACCCCATCGCCATTTCCCCAGGGTTTTTGGTGGTTTTCTAGAAAGAAGGATCCCTGGAAAGAATGGGGAAGTTGCTCCTAGAATGTTGGGCGCAAACAAATGATGACTGACGAGCCACACTGCAACCATACTACTCAAGAAGAACACACCACAAATCGTGCACTGCTTTGATGCCAGTACCTCCCTGAAAGACTGTCTCCGCTCAGCGCAAGGTTTTTGTGTGTATGTGCTATGGACATCTCCATCTTAGCTGCCCAACTTTGCCTTTCAAACTGTAGCAACTAGATTTGACAATGCAAACTCATGTTTCAAAGAGCAGACCGCGCTAAGCTCCAAGAAATTCATACCGCCAAACAAAACCACAGCCTTGACTTGGCGCCGCAAACATCCGCACCCTGTCCGAAAGCAACACGCCAAAGGAGGCCTCCAGCCTGAGAGCAGCCTTTGATTGGAGCGGGAAAAAACGAGTTCGCGGGAGAGGAAAAAAAGCCGGATGGTTTGAACCAAAGAATCACAAGCTTTCTTGAGACCTGCATTTTCAGCTGCGCTAACGTGTCCCAATCCAGAGATTCAAGCTGCACGTCTTGGGACCCTGGCTTCAGTGGGAAAAAGCGACCCAAAGTATACAAGCTGAATCAACCCTACGCTAAGTCTAAACCGGCCCTAAACCAACCCTGAACCAACATGCCAACGAGTCAAACGTCCGGCGTTAAGGGAAAACCACACCGACGCTCGATTGCCAGCCTCGAAGGACAGGGAGGATGCGTTATGCTGATGGATCTGGTGGATTGCATGCTTCAGGCAATCCCACCTGGCACCACTCATCACCGACCTCAAAAACCAATCCCAAGGCTTCCAAAGCAGGCGCAAAACAAACCGCACGGATGGAGAGCCGAGCGCCTCTTCGCCAAAAAGGAGATGCAGTGTGGCGAAGCACAAAGTTGACTAACTGCCATTTGCTTGTTCGTTCCCAGGAACAAAAATGACAATCGTTCCAGTGATAGATTCCCTTTAAAACCAACAGCTTGAAAAGAAGCAGCATTCTTAAGCAAACGGAGACTGCATTTGATTCACAAACATCGCAAGAGCTCGGAGAGCCCTTCGCACTGCAAGCATGGCAGAAGGACGTCCGGTTGGACTCCTGGCCAGCTGAAAGGAAGCTAAAAAACTAACCGCGGCTCAGCAGCACACTGAAAACGACGAGCTTGGTTTCAAGTTTCGTAGGGCACGGGGCAAAATGCCAATGTTCAGGCAAAGTTGACAGACTCAGACACATCCATGTCTTTTCTAGGCCAAAGGGAAGCTCCACAGCATAATCAGGACCTGTTTTCTCACCTATCGCTGGCCAGCATGAGCGTCATGTCAGGTTTGCGAGCAACTTGGCTCCAAACCACCAAGCAAAAAAGCAGCCCGCGAGCCCGCGCGCGCACCAACCAAACCAAGCAGCCCACGGAACCAGCTCTAAGCCAAAAAAAACATGCCCAGTCAAAGAAAAAAAGAAACGACGTACATGTGTACATATGTCTACAGATACATGTATATACATATATATATATATATATATACATGTAAATATATGTATAATATCACTGGGCACAACTTCAAACTTGGCTTGCAGGCCCTGCCACAAGTGGCATAAGCTCTCACAGGACACGGTCCGGGCAAAGAACGCAAGCACCGCGCATGGCTTCCGTCATCTTTGCTTTGCCATGCGTGATTTGTGCTTCTACTTTTCGCCCAAAGGTTTCCGTGGTTGATTCCCCACATCACGTCCTTTTCGTCCATGGGGTCGCCGGAGCGAAACTGCCGAATGTTGCCGCCTCAGGTTTATGCGAGGCGATGTGCCGGGCAAAGTTTGATGCTGGCCATCCACCAGCAACCTCAGAAAAAGTTGAAACATATGGCTGTGGGTCAAAACCAATGGGATCCCATTTTGAGGTAGGTGAATTCACCACCCATTTTGGAACCTATTTTGGTGGTTGGATTGGGATGTTCACTGGGGCTAACCGATTTGGCTTTTGAGCTGAAGCTCCTGACCATCAAAACCGCTGGCTTGAACTATCAGTCTGCGCGTGCGCGCGCAACATATACTGCGTGTCTCTGTGGGGTTGCGTGAGCAGGTCCACATGCGCATGTGCCTGTGTGCAGTGTGTGTGTGTAGACCTGCCGCTCCAAAGGCACATGTGCACCTGGGTGCATGCGTCTTTGTGTGCAAGAAACAAGCTAGTCGTTCGATTCGATTCACAAACACGCAAGTGACAACCCACAAGAGGCACGGCTCAAGCGGCTCAACAGCCGAGAGTTTGCAAAGTTTACAACCAACATGGTAGCCAGTGTGAACCAAAGTTGAACCAACAAAGTTGAGCCCAGGTAGTCTCTGAGTGGCCCGGCTATTTCCCGTCTTCTTCCCAAGGCTCGCCATGACCTGTACGAATAGATTCGGCAAGGCTTTTCGAGTCCTCACCGCCTGGTTGCGCCGACCCAAATCTCCAGGTCTCAGCTCTCAGAAGTTCCCAGAGGTACTGGGGGCTGGGGAAGACAACATTCATTTGATGCGTTGGTAAACAAGATCCGCGGCCAGACCGGCAACTAGTTAACTAGCGCCTCCAGCGTGGCGGATTTTGGGAAACTCAGGAATCGAATTTTCCACGGCACCTCAGCAGGTCCGTTTGCATCCATATGAATTGATGAATCCGGAGAACGAAACCATACTATCTCCCTGCGACTTGCACAGAGCTTAGCATGGCACATGTAATCAATCACGCACGAGACAGGCAGCCAATTCTCGATTTGAGGCGGTGCTTCCTTGCGGCTCCCAATCAGCTCCTTGCATGAAAGCAAGCTTCACCTCGAAGGGTTCTGGAAACCTTGATGGCTTAGGCGGGGTACGGGGGTTGCGCACTTATGGAACAGTTCAGGTCATGGCAACTGTGCGACCCGCCTTTCAATCTTAGCTGGCAAATGACAATTTTGGGAATACCGACTTGGGCGAGCTCGTGTTGTCCCCGGAGCCAATGTCGGCCATCGGCTCTCAAATCAGCTCACCGGTAGAAAAGCATCCCGTATTCACCCAGAGATTGAATGCCCGATCAAATTCATGGCTTTCGGGGATGCTGTGAGGAAGTCTTGGCAACGCGCGCAGGAAAGTAAAGTACGCCAAGGCAAAGGCCTTGGTCAAACACATAATTCACATGTTGCTAATGCCTTCGACTCTTCGAACACATCGCAATTTAGCCCTTGCAGTGCTCTGAACAACTTGCTGCAAGACAAAGCCCTGCATTTACTTGCTTTGGAGCAGTGATCCTGGCAGCTCCCTTCCGCTACATTCTGCTACCAAGCAACGAGTCAGGGCCCGTTGCTGGCTCAGGCTTGCTGGTTGAAATCAGCCAAGCTGCATTGATTAGACCTGTACAATCTGCAATGGGCTGCCTTTACCCTTTCGCAACTTGTTGCTGAACTTGATCCCACAGCATACTGCGAAACATCACAGCTGGAGTAGAACATCACACAACTGGGACATGTACATAAGCGCATGCATATTCATTCCGCCCCTCGCCCTGAGCTTCCCAGTGCCTAAAAGCCTGGCGATGGCTTTTCGGAGTGTGCGGGGTGCGAATTCTGATGGCAGCGGTGCTGACAGCTTGGGGCTCGCGGTTGGGCAGTTTCTTCGCGGTTGGCGCGTGTGCTGAATGCTAAGACCTTCTCTACGCATTGCGTCCGAAACTCGCCGGCAGATTACCAGCCTGAGCCAAATGGAAGTTTTCCGCGGGAAGAAGTGCTGCACTAAAAGGGGCGATCAGGTACTTAGGAAGTGGTTGCTAACCCACTGAACGGAGACTTATAACCATGGCAAGTGGGTTCTAGCCATGGTTACAATGCCCCTTGATGGTTCTCCAGGCAGTTCTGCTGCAGGCTGAAACCTGACCTTGACGGATCGGTTTCAAAGGGGTTTTAACCAACCGGGTATGGGTCGAAATTAAACCAACAGGAATCGGACCGCAGGAATTGGAGTCCTTGGTTCCATTTACCAGGGCAACCCGTGTTGGGCACCTATTTTTTGACCCACAGCCAAACAGCTCAAGCGCCATCATGTGCCAGAGCAAACATAACCCTGTAAACAACACTCCGCACTGCCAAACTGAGCAAAGAAGCTGCTTGCAAAACACCACAAAAGAGTACAACCATGTTCAGAACAGAGGTCGTGCAGTGCCAGGCCACCCGTCTGCCTCAACACGTCTATGAGAAAGGAGTGGCTGAACGAACGGGTGATGCGTGACAAGTGAGGGCCGGAAGTGCAACACATGCTTGCCAACAAAAAATCAAGCGCGGCAAAATCCGCCATGCTCTCACATGTCAAGAGATACTAGTCAAGTTGACGATGGTATCGCGGACACCTTAATCACACGCGTCTCAAAAACTGGCAGGTGGCACCAAAAGTTCCCAAAAAACACAAACCCGGCAAAGTCAAACTAAAATGTGTCTCGAGATTGGCTTAAACCAAGCATGTAGGTTTGTTCATCCCTACGCCTAGAGACTCCTTTCAAAATAAGCTGCCAAATATGCGCCATGTCCGGCAAGGGCAGCCGTCATGATTCGCTTTGAGGCAACGCACAACTCACAGTAAAGAAATATGACAACCAAGATCAGAGGAAGCCACAGCGGACATCACTACCATTTCAATTGCAGTGCAGTTTCCCCCCTTTCATGGTGTCCGGCCTTCGAGAGCCAGGGCAAACATCTGGTTCCTAGCCCCCCCAAAAAAATCCCATGTACACAACTGGTGTGGCGGCCACACTTCACACAAACAGAACAAAAAAACAAAACCAAACCGAACCGGACCAAACCGAGCCAAACTAAACCAACAAACAGACAGACAAAATAAACCTACCGCGAAAAAGAGTATGCTCATATAGACAGGGCAGGCACCCCTGTAAAAATCACGTCCTGCCGGCGTTGGCAATACAAGTAGCAAAAAGCTGACATGCAAATTCCCTCAAATGCGTGGCACTGTCTCCCATCTCTGATCCCGCGGGGCCAGCGGCACAGAACAGCCAAAGCGGGGTTCCCATGCAGAAACAGTCAACAAACAACGTCAAGTCTTGACTCGCCGACATAAAACCCTCTCGTTTCAGCCATGCGCACTCTTTTGAACATCCCACAACTTTGCTCAGTCGCCTCGCGCAGAGACTGAGGTGAAATCCGGGTGCGCAGGCTCTACAAGCACGCCCAAGTGGCAATTGTTTATTTGTTGCCGGGCAGTTGTCCCATTGCGACTTCATCTAAAAATACAAACTTTTCTCGGATGTCCCGTTTAATTCTTGGGTGGTGACCTACACAAGCAAGCCTGGGCCGTGCGAAAGCCCGGACCGGCCCCAGCAGCTCCCGTTACTTGCAAGTGTCCAAAGGGCTCGAGTGACATCCACAGCGACCAGAAGCCGAGCTTGGCAATCCAAACGAGGTCCTCTGAGGTTCCAACTAGATTGCCAACCAACAAGCTGGCCCCAGAAAGTGGACGCCCTCTTTAACTGGTGGCTTGGAGGGAAACCACGGGCACCGAGAAGTAGTGTTGAAAATCCCTCAAGCGCAGCCCGATTTTAAGGGGCCCAAAACGGAACCTTGCTTCCATGTTCCAACTGGGCCTCGAAGCCAATAGCAACTAGCATGGCTACCAGGCAAAACAAACTTACTTGAACATGCCCTTGGCAGGTGCTTCCCGTCGTTGTGATTAATAGGTAACCAAGGGAAACGGCACGGAAAACAATGCCTAGTGCCTCACAATTGGCTGGCAGCACGGGTAAGGGGGAATTCCGTTGGAGCCCTCCGTCTTTTGCGCCAATGTCTCCCCAACTGGCGCAGCACTGCAGCAGGGGGCCCCCTAGATTTGCTCTTGAAACATCCCGGCACGAGCACAGAACATTGTCAACCAGCGGTGCTGTTCAAAAACACCTCTTTCTCGTTTGACAGGTCGAGGAGCTGCGAATTACAGGCATTAAAAGAAACACGGGCAACCTATGCGATCAGGCGAAGAGAGCCTTGAGACTCTGGTGTGGCTTTCGCCGCTGAGCCTCGGCGCAAATGCGGCCCCGAAAGCGAAAAATAAAATACAAAACAAAAAAGTGGTACAAGTTCCAGGGAGCAAGCTTCACGCCTCTGGGGTTTCCGGACCGACCGCATCTTTTTCGGGTCTTCGCCGAGGCGGCGGCCACCGCCTCTTGCGCCGTGCTGTGTCTCACCTGCGGCGGTCCGGATTCGCACCAAGCGCCTGATGGCAGAAGCGAAAGGAGAACCATCGCAAGAGGCAAAGCTCTAGCTGGAAGTCGCACAACTGGTCGTATGGACAAGGTGAGTGAATCACCCAAAGAAAACAGAGGCGAACTGATGAATCGGACTTAGCAGATTATGGCACGTGTGCCGCGTGCTTCCAAGCTCGGTGCTGCCGGTGGCAACCCACTCTGCCAGGAACAATTCTTGCTTCATTGTTCTTAGATGTTGTGTCACCGATGTAATCCATCATGCTATCCATGCTTCCGCACTTCACAGCCCGCATCGCGGTGACCGCGCCCAAAGCCGAAGCCGACCTGAGTGACACCGACCCGAGCAAGAAAGAGGGCAATGAGTGCTCTTCCCCCAAAACAAACCTCCAAGCTGATGCCAGACAAAACCAAAGTTACTGCCTTCCGAGCTGAAAACCTCAGCCAGCTGATTAAAAACCACAGCTTGGTGCCCTGGCGCTACCTTTCTTCCTCAGCTTGGCGGGCGCTGCGAAGTCCATCATGTCCTTCGCTGAAATGCTTCGCTTTGAAGGGTGTCCAAATATGACAAGTCACCGCTGGCTCCAGTCCCGAAAATGAGCAATAACAAGAACTCCCAACCTGCGATGCGTTGTCGAAGCAACCGAAAAATCACCAAGTCCTTGGGCTCATTGGCTGGATGAGTGAATGAGTCGTCTGAGGGTTTGGGGGGTTCCTTTCACTCATTTCAACTGAAAGCAGGCGGTAAGGCAACAAGCCAGACCGTAAAGCTGCAACTGCAGCTCTTCAAACATTCCTAGAGTTGCCCCAAGGGGTGCGTGAGCTTTGCTTGTGCTTTCCGAGTCTTACCGGAGAACCCCGCTCAACTGCTGAACTGGGACGAGGGGAAACGGAAATATGTCACATGATGTAGGTGCTGGCCGGAGCTTTGAACATGTCTGATGCTCTCTGTTAAAGCATCTACGCCAGGATGTGCATGAACATGTCAAAATGCTGTATCAAACATACTCTTTCTACACCCATCCTTCACACACCAGTGCCCACCAAGGATAGAGGGCCCCACGACCACACAAAGGGGTCATCCACACTGTGAACAAGTCAAACAGAAACATCAACCCACACACACACGCACACACGCACGCAGGCACGCAGGCACGCAGGCACGCAGGCACGCAGGCACGCAGCACAAGCACGCACACAAGCACAAGCACAAGCACACAAGCACAAGCACACAAGCACAAGCACAAGCACAAGCACAAGCCCACTCACCCGCCCGCCCCAGCGTCGCTTTCAGTTGTTCACATGCTGCGGTGGAATCAACTGCAGCAGTCTCGAGGCAGTCCTCATCCTCCAGCGGCTGCACATTTGCTTTCGGACCTGCGATGCAGGTTGCTTGGCTGGTTGTGGCAGGAGGGCATGACAATCTCGGACATGTGCCAAAGTGTGGAACTCCTTACTCTCAACATTCCTTTTGAAGGTTGCAATTGAGTTACAAGTTGCGGAGCGCGCGAGCTTCAAGTTGAACAGAAAGTTCTCACAAAGTGCGCACACCAAGTTTTGGCAATCAAATGATTCATCTGGGCTGCCCTTCTGGGCAGCCGAGCATCGTAAGCTAAAAAGATGTCTTATCGGTGACCTGCGATGGCTTCACCCAGCTGAGATTTGCCTCGCACAAACAGGAAGACTGGAACACGCCGCCACGAATACAACATTGAATATGCCCCTCCCACACTTCCAATGCGCGGCGCACGGCCGAAAGACCAAGGTGTTCCTGATTCGAAGGTCCAGAAATCAGGAGTAACAAACACAAACTTGTCCAAAGAAAACAGGCGAGGAATAAATGGGTGTGGGTCAAAATTAAACCACCAGGGGTTCCATGTACCAGGCTATTATGGGAACCCATTTTTGACCCACAGCCAAATCGGCCAGGTGGCCGAACGGCTCAGGACAAGCTCCCCACTTTGGCCCAAGCAGCTCGCTGGTAGCGTCCAAATGTCCAAATGGGAAGGCCGAACAGTGTCAAAACCGGCGACTTCCAAGGGCGTCTTTTTTCGAATGGCAATTTGCTTCCCTGAGTTTCCTCTTGCTTCCGGTTCCCCTTTTGATAGCTCTTCCAAGGGTACCTGGCAAGCTTTCACGGCCTCCGGGGCACCGGGCACGGTGTGGCTACAGGCCGCAGTGCCCGCGCCTGAAGCTTTGCCGAGGGAGACGTTCCTGGAACTCATGGAGCGCTCGCTCCAAGAATGCACCGCGTGATCTTTAAGGCTTGCGCCGCGCGTGAAAAAGCTTTGCAAAAGCCGAACATCAAACGGAGGAATGGACTTTTGGGGGGTCGATCTCTCAAAAAAAGCACGTGTTGTTTTGTTGTTTTACGTGGTTCAGCGTGCGAAACCATCAAAACAGTGAACCCTCTGCAGACTTTCGCTGGGTCGACTGTAAAGCTTATGGTTTTCTACGGCGTTCACTTTCGTGGGATGAGGAGAGAGAGAGAGAGAGAGGACAAAAAGACAGAGAGAGAGAGAGAGAGCTAGAGCGGGAAAGAGAAGAGAAAAGAGACAAGAGAGCTAGAGCGAGAGTGAGAGAGAGAAAAGAGAAAGAGAGAGGAATAGAAAGAGAAAGAAAACGTGTGAGAGCGAGAGAGAAAGAGGAAGAGAAACAGAAACACAAAAAAGACAACAACAGATAAGAAGAAAGAGAAAGAGAAACAGAAGGAATAGAGAGAGAGAGAGAGAAAGACAGAAAGAAGGAAAGAAAAAGAAAGAAAGAAAGAAAGAAAGAAAGAAAAAATGAAAGAAAGAAAGAAAGAAAGAGTGAAAGAAAGAAAGGAAGAAAGAAAGAAAGAAAGAAAGAAAGAAACAAAAACAGAAATAGATACAGAGAATAGGACAGAAAGAGCGAGAGAGAGAGAGAGAGAGAGAAACAAAAAAAAAAACGGAAAGAGAGAGAGAGAGAGAGAGAGAGAACGAGAGAATGAGAGAGAGAGAGAGCGAGAGAATGAGAGAGCGAGAGAGAGCGAGAGAATGAGAGAAAGGGAGAGAAAGAACGAGAAGAGAAAGAAGACTGAAGAAGAAAGAGAAAGAGAAAGAGACAATGAAACAAATAGAAAGAGAAGGAGGAAAAGAAAGAGAAAGAGATGGAGAAAGAAGAAGAGGGAGAAAACAACAAGAAACAGAGTGAGCGAGAGAGAGAGAGAGAGAGAGTAATAGAAAAAGGGGAAGAGAAACAGGAAGAGACTGGTAGTAGCATCACGAGTATAAAACTTCTGATAACTATGGTTGTTGTGATTACTTGTTGTGCTATTAGTTGTATCAATTATGCATACATGTATGTATATCCATATTATATATATATATATGAGTCAGCGTCAAACTTACTTGACTAAGGTGTATTCATTCCGACGTTAGGATGTCCCGTATCGTTTTCCAGGTGTTTCTTTCAGGTTTGGGGGTCTCGTTTTTGGACGTCCCGTATCGTCTTTTTGCGAGAAAAAAACAACACAAAACAACATGTGTGTGAAAGACTAGTAAATGACGGTGAGTCATATATATATATATATATGGATGATCTGTATATATATATACCCACAACCATATAGCTTATAACAAGCCTGAAACAACTGGTTGCAACACCATATAGAGGTGGACGGTTGGATGCAGAGGATGCTGCACGCAGCCGCTGGCTTTTGCGGAGTGTGTGGGGGAAGGCACAAAGAACGCATGATGGCCCGGAGTTTGCCCCCCCCCCCCCCAGAAAAAAACAAGAAAGACACATGACAGCACAAGCACCAGCAGCAGGAGCAGCAGGAGCAAAAGCAAACAGAAAGCTGTCGATGCATCAACTGCACCATGTGTGGCTCAACCTCTGCTGGACCACATAGCCAACTCCCGGCCCACCTAAGAACACCATGCTCGTCCTCCAAAACATGTGTTGCGGGGATCTTCGTATCGGCGAGCTCGTAGCTATTTTTGGATTCTGTCAATGTGAAACCAAAGCCAATTCCACCACCCATTTGGGATTTTCAGGAAGACAAATTCGATGCTCCATCAAGGCTGAGCCCCAAAACCGCACGCAGATGCAGCCCAAGCCCCCCCATCTCTGAGCTCGGGGCACTAACCGCTGGAGACGGCGGCGTAGACAGGGTCGACTCAGTGGAGTAGCCTCAGCGATACCCAACTGTTGTCTCCTTTTCCATCACTTCAAGAGGTGTTTACAGTGAAAGTACCCTTGGCACCGAGCAAACAGTACAATCATGAACAGTGACACCCAAAGACATGCGGTTTAGCAGAACGCTCATGGGACCGGTGGCAGTCCGCATTGCTCCGCTACTAAGTTGGCCTTGAACTCCAACCTCACTTCCCTGCTGTTGAAACAAAGGATATACAGTGAAAAAACGCACAACAACACACAAAACACAAGTCTAGCCAGAAACACATCCTCAGGCAAAACCTGGCCGGTGGCATTTATGCGGGCTTCCACAGGTGAGCGGGTAGTGTGCTCTTGGAAGGCCTGTCACAGATATGGGCTCGTCCAGTTTTGAGGATTCGGACCCCCCCCCAAAACGGCGCAACGGTGTTCCTGTTAGTTTCCCTTCAAAGGTGCCAAAAAAAGGAGTACCCTCAAACAAAATGAAGCACCCACGTGTCCCCAGTGGTTTATGCCAGTTTGCTCCATATGTTCAACACATCTCACACGCACACACACCCATACCACCCCCCGCCCCGCCCTCCCACACCCACGAATTTCTTCCCTTCCCAAACTGGAGGGCCACCGAACGCCTGGGCCGTCCAACGCCTCGAGAACTCCTGCTTCGCCGCACCTGAGAAAGGCGCACAAGGGGAAAACTCCAGTCAAACCTTGGCAGCTGGGTATGACAATGCTTGGTTGACGTTGGACGGGGAGCAAAAGTTTATTTTTTAGCAGATAAGTGGGGATTTCCCACTGGACCACGATAAGCAAAAATGTAAAATGTGTCCCAAAAACAACCATGAATGTGTCCGGCGGAAACAAAAACCAACCAAAACCCTGAGGACATCGTAAAAGGTGCTCCATGCCGATCTGGTTCTTGATGGCTGATGGCCCTGCGGCATTTCTTAGTTTTCCACTAAAGCTCAATGAGTTGCGGGGCCCGGAGGAAGTCAGGCACATAAGCATCCAGTCGGCGCCAACACGCTGGAGACCTGAGCAAAGGGCCCAACGTCAAGCCCAGGACGCCTAGCCACCAGCGCAGGGATTGACTGGTCAACGCTTTGGCAGCGGCTTCCACCAGGAAAAGCGCAAACAGCAGCTGCCATGCCACTTCCGTGATGGAAGCACCAGCCAATTGCCGCATGAACCGCTGGCGCACACCCTCGCTGCAATCGGGCAAGGACCGGATGGTGTCAATGTCAACCCAGGTGAGGCTGTCCTCATAGGCAATCTGTGGGTATAGGCCACGGAAAGATGATAAGCGCAATGGTGCAATGCGGGAGGTGTCCATGTCCATCAGGAAGGCACTGGAGGCTCCTAGAGCACGCTCCACCTGCGGAAACTTTGGCGCGAAGCAGGAGGAAATGGAGGGCTGCAACGATGGGTGGCGCAAAAGCCGAAGTGTTGGGACTACAAAGTTGTCCTCGTCTTCTGACACCTCCCCTCCGCCAGCCCGGATCTCAGCTACCTCCGTCTGGTACTGTGTTCTGGACTCCTCCAGATCTCGGGCGGCGCGGGCCATCGCCGCATCCGAAGCATCCAGCAGCACCAGGCAATAGACCCGGCGTATGGCCAGGGATCGGCACATCAGCTCGGCGCTGGGGACGCTGAGCGGCACCCCCGCCATCGCCGTGAATCGCAGCAGCGCCAACACGATCTCCTCCTCACCCGCCGGCCAGTCGAAGACGGCGAAGGCCTTCAGAGCACTTGCGGTCGCGGGGAAGAAAAGCACTGCGCCCTTGCCAGACTCATTCTTGGCGGGAAGGGCCGCCTTCACTGAAAGCTGCAAAGGTAAGTCGTGCAGAAGCACGGTCTCTGCAGACCGCATGTCAAAAATGTCCGACCATCTAGCCGCGAGCTTTCGCGGGACCAAGTGTGACTTGTACCTCTCCTCCTCGCTTTTGCCAGGGATCGCAAAAAGCACCTTATGGTGCCGAGTCGACTTGCTCAGCCACTTTGTCAGAGCACCTTTGTCCACATTAAGTGGCAAGCCAATATTCGGGAAGGACGTAAGCACAAATTTCATTAATGCCTGCGGCGTCTCGTGCATCTGAGTGATGGGAAAAATCTCCACAGTACCCAAATGCCTCCCAAACTTCAGGACGGTCGGCAGCACCCGCACCTTCAGGGGAAGCCACTTGGCCTGATCGTCTGTGACGTCAATTCGGCCAAATCGCACCAGGTGCCCGTACTTCTGGACTTGATTCTCCCAGAAAGGGTGGAAACTGGCGCAGTGGGAGTTGTCTGGCCGGAACACCTGAACAATCCAAACATCGTTGGAGAAGGTCACTAGCTCATCAAAATTCTCCCGGGTCAGTGGCACACTCTTGGCCGACTTCAATTCAGATGCAGCCACCCCAGCTTCATCGTAAGCAGCACGCTTCGAATCATCCGACAGCGTCTCGTAGGCCATGGCAATTCTCGAGAAGGTCTCCTGGCATGAGCTGCAATTCGGATTCCTGTCTGGGTGCCAGCGTTTGGCCAGTGTCTTGTAGGCGCGCTTGATGTCGCCAGTTTCGGCATCACGTGTCACACCCAGCACAACATAATAGTCCTCTGTTTGCTCCACTGGCCTGTCTGGCGACCTATCCAAGCTTTCGCCACCGATAATGATAGCACACGTCACAACAAAGATTGCCACCAAGCCCAGCGGCACCTTGTGCGCCTGTACAAACTGTGCTGCTACCTCCTTGAGTTCAGGCTGCTCGTTACCTTTCTGCTTCACTGCGCCTCGAGCTGTTGAGCCCGAGCGAGCTTCATACAGCTCCAGGGCTCGGGACAAGGCCCAACGCAAAGCCTTGAGGACGATGAAAGAATCCGTCCACTTGCCAGCCATAGCACTTAGCAGCACATCGTCGCTGTCCTCAGCTTTGGCATGGTTGGCCTTCGTCTTCCGCTGCACAGGAGGCATGGCACCCTATGGCACCCTATGGCACCTCCAAGGCCAAGGTCAAAGGTCTCAAAATGGCCTTTGGGTCACCCCGGCAACTTCCTCGTGAAATTCCTTCCTAGTTCGAACCTAATGCGAACCCGGACAAGCAACGAGTCTGGGACATTTGTCCCAGTTACACAGCACACTTCTCTTGCATCGCGCTCAGGCAGCCTCGCTTCGCCTTGCGCTCAAACACGACATACATTCGGTAGTGAGTTTCTTTTGTCTGCCCTGTTTTGTCTTTCCAGACAGAAGGGACAAAGCGCCTTGGTCAAATGCAGTCAGTGTCAGCCCTGATGCCCTACCTTTAGAGCATAAATGCCCTGCAATATCTCCACCACCTGCCGTGCTTGCCCTGCTTGAAATCGTTCTGAGCCGTGCCGAATACTCTTGTGTCGAATGTGGTGCTATGAACTTGCTTTACCCTTTCGTAATGCTTTCGCGACCCCAAGTTTGATTTTGCGGGCTTCGGTTTCTTTAGAATTGCTTTCGCGGCGCTTTCGCGGCGGACTTTTTGAAACCCGGCCTTTGAACTGAATGAGCTCAAAAGCTGCAGGTTCCTTTTGACGACGATGGCCATTGGCCTTTCCGCAAAGTGAGTTCCACAAACGGCACACCCCAAATGCAAGACAATGGAAAACAACTCCGGCTCATCAACATGCAGGCTTTCGCGAGGCTTTCGCGAGGCTTTCGCGGCGGGACCTTTAGGCACTTTCGCGATAAGCTATCGCAAGCTTCTCAGCTTGGCTTTTGCGGGGGGGTCTATGGAACACCCCTCTTTACTACTTTGTATTGCCAGGGTTTATGGCGTTGCTCGAATTTGTGTCCAATTCGCATCGTGATTCATGCCAAACAAACATACTTGCAAACTTGCAGATCACGCGGACAGGATCTTAGCGGGCAATTCACAGGCAAAATATGTCCAAACATGTCAACTTGTAAACTTAATCCAGTTCGGAATCTAGCTTCGGATGTGCACCAGCAATGTTCACTTCAGCCGTTAACAGGTTCCAAACACCTTTGCCATCATGCAGTTTGTTGTGGTTGCCCACACCGTCCTCCGTCCTGACGGAACGTTGTTGTGCTGTTACACCTGCAAGCAGTGAATTTCACTTCTGACTCTTCCGACACTTTTCTGCCACGAAGCATGGCTTGCCGTTGGACCCTTTTGTGGGGCACATGAAGCAGGGATCCTTACATTATACACCTGGACATTGCCTTGTAAATGGTGGTTTCCCTTTATTTTGGTGGAAAAGCCATGTTTAAAATTTGCAAAATGTATCTTTTCAGGAGCCCTGATGAAAACACCCTGTGAAAAGAGGGGGTTTTGCAAATCTAGCGCAGCCCCCTGTCACCTGCCATGTTCCATGATCGCCCTTTGCAATGCCCCCTCCCGCCAGTTCGGGCTCCCTGCTGAGGCCAGAGTCCGACGACATGCCCTGGCTGCTGGGCAGTTCGTTCCTGGGCAAGGGGAGCAATCAGCACTTCGGAGATTCCGCAAACCCAGCTCTGAAAAACTCCAGGGTTCACCCGAAGAAGATGGCAAAGACGATCTTGCTATAATTCTCGATAGAGCCAGCTACGTGAACAATGCGAACGGTTTGGGCGTGTATGATGCGGACAACGAGGATGACGACGGCGGTGTTGGACACAGGACAACGAAAAAACAGCAAATGGCAAGGAAGATGATAAGCGCCTGGCGACGGGGAGGATGAGCGACCGACAATTGAAGCTTTGACACCGCAGGTAATGAAGTACTTACAGACATCCCTACCTCACTCAAGAGAATGGTCCACCAATAAAATCACAACGGTTCTCGCCACGGCCAGAATGAGACTGAACCAATCCATGGAATACACACAGCTCGCCCTCATCTCTCAACCCTCCGATCCCTCGCCTGGAGCTCGGAGCCTCCTGGAGGATTCACTCAGCGTTTCGTGTCTCGGCTTGGCGCAAACTTGGTTGACGTTCGAAGGGGATCAAAAAAAAAGCAGTTAAGTGGTTGGATTTCAACCACTAAACCACAATAAGCAAAAAATGTAAAATGTTTCCCAACAACAACCATGCAAAGTTTGTCTGGGTGAAACAAGAACATCCAATCACACTCATGCCAATCAGGGACAAGCTAATGTGTTCCCTGTTGCGCTGCCGGTGGAAAACCAAAAGAATATCCACATGAAGGCAACTGGCGCAAAGGGGCTAAGCGTCTCAGCAATACTTCGCAGTACGAAGCCCACGCCTTCGATTTCTGACGAAGGGAGTCGACCTGCGGCCGCTTGCGCGGAATCTTGGGCCGAGGAGAAGCTGAAGGCTACAGGTCCAACGTGTCGGGTGTCAGCTTCGGGTGCCTTGATGACTTGATTTGGCAAGAAAGCAAGTCGGGTATGTTGCAAAATTGGAAAACATACACAAAACAATGTCCTGCAGGAGTTTCAATTTCGAGGGCTTTCACCTGGCACCTCGACACGCGCGAAGTCGCGCATCTTTCGCCCTCGCAGCTTCCACCCGGCCTCCTTGCGCACCCGGGACAGATCCTGCTCTACCTGTCAGGTGGAGGACCGCCACGTTTGAGAAGCTCAAAAAATTAGACCGAAAAGCAACCAACTGCTTTTGGATGGGAAAGCCAACTAGACGGTTTTCTCCTTCCTGGAACCTTTGCTTTTTGATACCCTGCAAGCGAACTCGAACAAAAAAAAACTGCATTTTCATTGATGCGCCTAGATGCAGAGCGCTTACGATCGAACAGGTTGGGCCAACGGTGACTGGCAACGCACGGCAAGTCCCAGTTTGTGCAAGGCAAATGAGAGCATTTCCCTCTCTACGACAAAATCACGTGCCTGATCAGCATTGCCTTTGCGGTCGCGCGCCAGCTGCCTCACTGGGTGTGGAATAATTCGGACCCTCTGCGCGTGCTCCTGAACTTATCCATACACTCATGATAATCATCCCGTCATCACATCTGTGCACCCCAAACAATAAAGCCACATTTCCACTGACTCCGGACTATATTGCTAACAGTCCATGTGGAAAGCTTTCCTTGCGGAAAAAGACTGGAACTTGACTCTTCCCCAAGTTCAAGCCATCTGGGCGTGTCCTTTTTTTTGAGGGGTGGGTACCCAAACTTCTTGGGTGATTTTCAACGGACACCAAAAGCACACCAGGAATTTCGACCAGCACCATCCCATTTCCAGGTGCCCTTCTCCCCTCAGCAACGGCAGCTGAGGCGCTGCAATTCAGCCTCCCGCACCCGGGAGCTGTGGAGAGATCCGTGTAGCGCTTGGCAGCGATCCGAGGTCTGGAAATGGATGCGACGCGGCTCTGGACACGTCAGATCAGGGCTCCACTTGACAAGATAGACTTAAATCTCTATAGTGCTACCTTCCTTTCTACAAAACCTCCGGATGCCCAGGTAAACCGCCGGTTTTCGAAAAGACCGATGGTTGGAAAGAATGGGGAATCAACCCTTAGAAACCCAAGGGTTCCTCTTTTGGGGGACATCAACCACCCCTGAGTTTCAGTCTATCTTGTGGTCAAAAAGTGGAACCCTGCATGTCATGTCATGGAATACCTGGCCCCATAGTCTACCAGTATCAAAGTCACCCAAGCACGACTGGATGAAGGGAAACTGCCAACCAGCTTCTGACTTTGATAGCCCCCAGAAGCAGTCAAAATAATGCTCCCAGAATGCTTTAGGACAAAACTGTATGCCTTTTCTTTGCAAAGCCAGGATCTGCAGATCGAACTTCCATCTTCGTGTTGTGTGACAGGATGCTCAATTATCAATATTTTGAGCTTAACATACTTTAAAGGCTTTGGACTGTGACACAGCAACAACTTGCAGGATTCTAGGGGGAAAGGCTGGTGCTCTCTAAGAAGGCCCAAGAGGCGCAATTCGTGTCCTGGCAGCGCATACGGATATATACGTACACGTGTATGCAGGCGTACATACCTAGCCGGTTTCACATATATCCGCCGACCCCTTTCTCCAAAGGGGAGGCGCATGGGAAGGGTTTGTCTTTGTCCTTGTCTTAGTGATGATTATCATCACCACTGATGTTGGGTGATGGCTCACAGCATCCGGATCATCATCATTACCGTGGCGCTCTTCTTTTTTCCATATACGTTTCAAGTGTGCCGTTAGACCCGACTGGAAATGCAGAGGATGTGTTGTCATGATTGTCATGATAACTGCTGCTGATGCTGGGGATGCATAGTCATGACGTTAACTGCTGGTGATGCTGAGGATGCGTAGTGATGGTTGGTGATGATGATGATGATGATGATGAAAATGATGATGATGATGATCATGATGATTATGATGATGAGAGTAGTGATGGTGGTGTTCATCATCATCATCATCATCATGTTTATCATCATCATCATCATCATCATCATCATCATCATCATCATCATCATGTAAATCATCATGTAAATCATCATCATCTTCCATGTTCCTCATCATGTTCAGCGGTCTTCTTTGTTCATATACGTTTCAAGTGTGCCGTTAGACCCGACTGGAAATGTAGAGGATGCGTTGTCATGATTGTCATGATAACTGCTGCGCTGCTGATGCTGGGGATGCATAGTGATGACGTTAACTGCTGGTGATGCTGAGGATGTGTAGTGATGATTATCATCAGGATGATGATGATGATGATGGTGATGAAACATGAAAATGATGATGGTGATGATGATGATGAACATGATGATGGCGGTGTTCATCATCATTTTCATCATCATGTTCATCATCATCATCATCTTCATCATCATCATCATCATTTTCAGGTTCATCATCATCATCATGTTCATCATCATTTTCATCATCATGTTCCTCATCATGTTCATCATCAAAACCGTGGCGCTCTTCTTTTTCACATACATTTCAAGTGTGCCGTTAGACCTGACTTGAGATGCAGGGATGCGTAGTCATGATTGTAATAATAGGTGCTGGTGATGCCGGGGGTGCATAGTTCATCCTCATCATGATCATCATCATCACCATCACCATCTGATTGCATCCCCAGGTGTTCCTAACGGCTTACTTCTCGCGAAGACGAAGCGATGGCACAAAGTCCACACTTCGCATCCACAGCAATACATCGAAGTCTTGAGAAGAAAAGAAAACGCCCCCAACATGGTTTTCCTGCCCGACTTTCCACGCACCCAGGGCACTTCTTGTAAAATTCAACAAGGTGCTTATTTTCATGCGAACATATCCCGCAGTGGCTTGTTTGAGATGCAGGGAATGCGTCGTCATAATTATCAGAACAACTTCTGGTGATGCTAAAAATGCAAAGTAACAATTATCATCATAACTGCTGACGATAATGCGAATGCATAGTAATAATTGTCAGATCCCCAATGTTGGGTAAAAATTGCATCATCAAAAACATCATCATCTTCCTGCTCTTCTTTTTCATATATGCTTTAAGTGTGCCGTTAAACCCGACAAAAAATACGTCGTCATAATTGTCATAACAACGTCCCCTGTCAGCAAGCAGGGGCCGGCGGCACAGGGCGGCAGCCCTTACATATATACATATATATATATAAACATCTATATAGTAATGATAATAGCAAAAAAAATAGTAAATAATAAATAATAAATGATAAATCATAATAAACAAAATAACAATAATAAATAATAGTAATCCTAGTAAGAATAACAATAGTAATAGTAATAATAGTAATAGTAATAGTAGACGTAATAATAATTAATAATCAGAATAATAATGATACTACTAATAATAATAAGTATATTCATAATAACAATAAGAATAACTAATAGTTAATAACAATAATTAGTCATAACTATACTACATGCGTACACTTCAAGCACGTGTTCTCTGAAGGGATAGTCGTAGGAGCAAGACGCAGATCTGCAACGAAAAGCAAAAACAAGTATATACTTGACTTGAGAAGGTGCTGGCTGCAGTGCTTGCATTTGTAACACATGCTGCTTCTTGCCAGTATCCAATCCTCAGAATTCATGAAAGACGCCTTCGGAAAGCTGCGCGCCGACTTGCCAGCCGCAAGACAGGTCGCTCACCGTCTCCGAAACTCTCCAACCATTCAGCATTGAGACTGGGCTCCGCCCTTGCAAATATCGTTGCCCTCCCATTAATTAACATGGAACCTGGCAGGGTCCCTTTGCCAGGAAAAGGATTTGCCAGGCCCCCCAAACGTCAGGTTCCGTGTTCATTGCCACAAGGAATCCTGGTGCATCTCCAGCCTGCGGCCGGTGCTTCCGCCGCTCCTCCAGCGCGTCGGGGTCATCCTCGCCAGACTTAGGAAAGTCATTCCGACTGAGGTGTGCTGCCGAATTGATGGGCGACTGCCACAGCTTGCGGGGTGTCTGTGGGAGATTCTGGTCATTTCTCCCGAGAAAGCTGCTTCTCCTCTGCGCGGGGGACACATCAAGCATGTCGCAAGCCAACGGATCGTGTGGCTTTCCGCGAGACCTTATCTGCTTGTCAGGTTTGGGGCGGCTCATGGTGAATGTCCTGTTAGGCTCTTACTCAATGATCAAGTGGCAAGTGGTGTTGCCTATCCAACAGGATCCATTCGAAGCAAGCTCATGGTGGCCCCCACGTTAATACAACCAAGGTGGCCAACAGGGATGGATGCGACTTGGCCAGTGCCCAAGCAAAGATCAAGAAGGATGCCCAAGGTCGGTTCTCAATACCTCTCAGTGCTGTCGTTCCGCTTCCCGCCTCCCGGACATGCGCAATGGGGAGTTTTTGATGCTGCTTCTGCTGCTCTTGGTCGAGATGCATCTGCATCTCAGCGCCTCGCTCGACGCGCAAAGCTTTACTCAGGCAAACGACTCAGCCTGAAATTGGAAGCCTGAGCAAGTCTTACCCCAAAGCTGCCCTTATGCCGCACAGAGGGCATGGTTTCAAGCGCAATGCATTTGTATGCTTTCATTTTGACGGCAAACAAAAGATCACACCATGCTTCCGCACTGGTCAAGTTGATGCTGAGAGGATTCAAATATCATACTCTGCAAGTATGATGGGACATGTTTAGATGGCTGACTCAATGAGCTCAATCCCAGAAGGTATGGTTGTGTGCCAAAGTCTTGTGGTTCATCACGTACTATGTGGGTTCCCTGCCTGCTCAGCTGTGTATGCATTGGAACCAGTTGCGTGCAATACTGAGCCGCACAAACCTTGCAAATTAAATTCAAGTTTGCGCACTGCATCTCAGGGAAGGGGGTGAAACGAACGATTTCCTCGTAGATGAAGCGAGTTGTTTCCAAACCAACCCTGAGTTCGTTGGTCATAGCCCCCAAACGAAGCATCCCAAATCCAAGCCCCGGTAGCTTTGGGACAAACAAAAGGGTGACACAAGCAAATCCGTAGGGATCGAGACATACCAAAGTCAACGAACGGTACTTAAGGGCCCCACGAAAGGAACCAAGATGAAATGACTATCAGCATCCTGATCGACAAAATCCGCTGGGAATTCCCGCGTTCGCAGTTGACCACAGTCAAACTTTCGGCATTGCAAGATACACCCAAACGACAAAGTCTTTGCATTTTCGTGCTTCTTTCTTGAAAGCCCGCAGCCTGCCAGTAAAAACAACGCAACGAGGGCTCCCGGCAGGGTCCCTGCAACTGAGCCTTTCGCACTGGCACACTGCGCCCAACCGTCTCCTAAAACTGCTTTCTTTGAGTACCACTACGGACGCAATCCCCATGGCACATCGCATGTTTCAAGGCACCTCAACGCATTTTGAGCATACATGTTCAAGTACGAGTAAGATGGCAACCCCCATGGCACATCGCATACCAGTCGGGACCAAGATGTTGCTTGACTATGTGTGTTTGCATGCCAATAAGAAGGCACATCGCATGCTCAACAACATCGAACCAATTCTTGCAACACACAAGTTCATGTGCTAGTAAGCAGGCAATCCCCATAGCACCTGCATAGCCAACAGCAATCAAACACATCTCTACAAATCTTTTCGAAGCACAAAAATGAAGGCAACCCCCATGGCACATTGCACAATCAACCCCTCCGTGTCTCCAAAAACGGCTTTGGTTCAGTGCCACTACGGGACGCAATCCCCGTGGCACATCGCATATTCCCTCAACGCATTTTAAGCATACGTGTCTAAGTATAAGCAAGAAGGCAACCAGCATGGCACGTCACATACCAGCTGGCATCGAAAAAGTAGCTCTGTGTTTTTGTGTGTGTGTGTGTGTGCTTGTTCAGTCAGTTTCCCTGATTCAGAATTTTGCTTTGGTTCGAGTCTCTTACGTGAGCGACTTGCAACCTATCTCAACTAGCCTTTCGGCAACCCTCCCTTCCACTAACATAGCACCTGTGGGAGGGTACCTGAAAGATCATGTTTCCGATTTTCCTCTTGAAGGGACCCTGGTCAGGTGCCATGTTAGGAGTGAGGGTAACCTTATCAACTTTGGATTTGTCCGGCAAAGCTACACTTTCAGTTCATCTAGGCAGGCTCCCGGAGGTCGCTAGCCCTGGAAAGAATTTCACACACCGCTGCTAAGGGTAAGAATGAGAACGTAAACATCCCGCCCGCATCACCTCAAAACAACTCCATGTGTTGTGTGCACTTGATGGCTGGCAAAGAATGCAACCGTTGCATCGCAGCATGTGACTTCTTTGCTACTGGCATCGGGGAATTGAAGCTTGAGTTAAAGAACAAGTGAGCTATCGCATCATCGACAGACTACTGCCAGCCACATGTCCAACCACCCATCAGCCGGGCAACGATGTTACGCCTTCAATCTGCAACCTCTGTGCATCACAGGCACATTGCAGATGTTGTTGCTGCTTCTCGTGATCCAAATCCTTCTTCTCCTCCTGCCAACGGTTTTCCAACGGTTAACAGGCATGACTCTCAGGCATCCACGAGAACGACCTGCAACCTACATGAGATTCCGGCTGCTGACAAGGCCCTCTGCTTGAAGCACGGGGTCTAGGCATCTGAGACTAAGCGCAAAGTCCGTGAACGCCCCACGGGGCAACATCCTTCCGTAGTTGGAGACGGCATGAGTTCCCGCAGTCTTGGTTGCTGTTGACCCCTCTGCAAAAAGTTTAGCTTTTAGTGGGTTTAATGGAAAACCCCTTGATTTCCCAAAAAGTTTAAGTCTAAAGATCTAACCCAATAGCAGCAGAGCAGTCATCAACGATCCGGCATTCATTTCGTGCAAGCAAATGTCCTCGCCCGTCACTGCAAGGACCCGACCAAAAGGTTGCTCATCACCTTTGAAGCGACCATGCCCAACCTGATTCAACACACTCCTTTCAACTAAAGACTGCAAACCTTCCACTGCCACACAAATTTCGAGAAGGTCTGGTGCATCACACCATTTCAGCCCGGAACACTCTTCGAAAGCTATCAAGGCACCCCCACCCTCCCCTCCCCGGAGGTCTCCTCCTTCCGAGGGCCTTCCTCCTCCAGCTGCCTCCTCGTCGTTCTCTGCTGGACCGCCTCACGAGCCGACTATCCGGGTGCTCAGGGAAAGAAACAAAAACAAGGCGAGCCCCCCCCGTGTACCCACAAAGGACCTATCATAAGGGTAGCTTCCCCATTCTTTCCAGAAAATCACCAAGCCATTTGCAGCCTCTGCCAAATGTACCGGGTGCGGCTCGACTCCAAGCCGCTGCGAATTCAGGTGTGGGCTTCAGCTCGTGAAACCGTGTCAACAAAGACAGTCCACGCGCAAAGATCATGTAGGCTGCGCAGGTAGACTGCCTTGTTGACAAAGTCCGCACAACGGAAAACTCCTCACACTCGAAATCCCGAACCATGGCTTGGCGGCATTGCTGGGCTGGACATGCATTGGTCTATGGCTTTGTGGTTGCCTTCCTTAGATCAAATTGGATAGTATGAAATTCAGACATGCCACGCAAGTGAGGCACAAAGCCAAGCGTGTTTTCCTTGGTGAGCTCTTTTTCTTAAGGGCAACTCCTTCTGCGCGAACAAATACCGTTGCGAATGGCACCGGTTCCAAATTGTGTAAGGCGGTGGACAATAACCAATCCGCCACCACCCCCACCCTGAATCAAGCGGGGAACAGTCGCCACTACACGGAAAAACAGGGAGTGGAGAACTATCCACAGGGCAGCAAAAGGAGATGGTGGGGTCGCCAATATAACTCTCGCCAACCATTTGTTAGCTGGTCAATCGATAGAAACATGCAAAAGTGATCTGCGCCAAGAGGCATTCAAATATGGGTGCAACACAAATCCAACAGTATGACATGCACTGTTGGGACCAGCGGTTCCTCTGTCTTTGTCCTGCTGGCCAACCAACCTTCCAGAAGAAGAAAAAAAGGAGAAAAAAAAAGAAGAAGAAAAAACGGACCCCAACCGGACGTTCACAAACTCACTTCTTGAAGGAAGGCTGCTTATAAAGTTCGCGGAGCCCAGCTCAAGCCTCCACCCACAATCCCCCTGACCTGAAGCGGGCAAAGGCTCCAGGAAATGAGACATGGCATGACACCTATCAAAACCAGCCATCCCGTGTTCTTGGCTTTTGTTGGGGAGGGAAAGTCCCCAGGTTCATTCCCAAAACCTGGCTCATTCCCTACCAATCGCACCAGCCCCGCGCCTCCTGCTCAACGCTCTCGAGCTCCGCTCCCAGGTTGCCCAGGCGCTCAAGCATCCTACGCCGCCGCGCGCGCAGCTCGATGTGAGTCCTCGGATGAAGGAAACGCGGTTGGGGCCCGCGGATGCCGACAGGAAAATCGGTTGGGCCAAGTTCAAGGGATTTTTGTCCAAGATTCATGGGGGTGGCCCGCTTGCAAATGCCTGTCATCAGCTGGCAGGCATGGGCCGAAATGGTGTCTCGGTTTTGAGACACCCGAATTGACCAGGGTTTGGAAGCAGAAGTGGGAGACAATATCTCCGGCCTCAAATTGAACCTAGGAGCCTAGCCAGCCACCATTTAAGCAGCTTCCAGCCCACCGATCCAACACTCCTGACATGTACTCATCCCACATAGCCACTCATAGCATGTCCACTATGTGCAGTGGCATCCACTCATCCCTTCCTAGCAGATACCCGAACATCCACTCATATCGGGATCGTTGCTGGCTGCTTGCGCTCAGCTCCCACCTCCGTCCGAGCCACTGGCGCCTTTGCTCGGGCCCTGCGTCTCGGTCCTCTTGCAGCTGCGCGTTGTTGACGCTCACAATGGGCACTGCCTGTTGGGGCAATGGCCTTGACCAAGATGTATGTCAGCACGCATGTATGTAATGTCATACAAAGCAATATAATGTAATGTAATGTAACGAATCTAATGTAATTTGATGTGATGAAGTATAACGATACATACATATATATATACATACATGCATATATGGATAAGTGCATTCATGCATGCATATGTGGGTAAGTGTGTGTGTGTGCGTATGTATGTATCCATGGTCTGGTATGGTTTGGTGTGGTATGGTATGTTATGCTAGGCTATGTTATGGTATGTTGAGTTATGTTATGTTGTGGTATGGTATGTTATGTTGTGGTGTGTTGTGTTGTATTGTACGTATGTACGTATGTACGTTAATACATATGTGCATATGTACATATTGTATGTACGCATGTACGTACGTACGTACGTAGGTAGGTACGTACGTACGTATGTATGTGTGTCTGTATGTATGCATGCATGCATGCATGCATGTATGTATGTATGTATGTATGTATGTATGTGTGTGTGTTTGTGTTTGTGTTTGTGTTTGTGTTTGTGTTTGTGTTTGTGTCTGTATGTACGTATGTACGTATGTACGTGTGTGCGTATGTATGTATGCATGTATGTATGTATGCACAGATGTATGTATGTATGTATCTATCTATCTATCTATGTATGTATGTATGTATGTATGTATGTATGTGTGTGTGTATGTATGTATGTATGTATGTATGTATGTATGTATCTATGTAGGTATGTATGTATGTATGTATGTATGTGCGTATGTGTGTATGTATGTATGAATGTATGTATGTATGTGAGTGTATGTATGTATGTATGCATGTATGTATGTATGTATGTGTGTATGTATGTATGTATGTGTGTGTATGTATGTATCTATGTATCTATGTATCTATGTATCTATGTATGTATGTATGTATGTATGTATGTATGTATGTATGTATGTATGTATGTATGTATGTGTGTGTATGTATGTATGTTTGTATGTGTGTGTGTGTTTTTTGTATGTGTGTAGGTATGTAGGTATGTAGGTATGTAGGTATGTAGGTATGTAGGTATGTAGGTATCTAGGTATGTAGGCATGTAGGTATGTAGGTATGTAGGTATGTATGTGTGTGTATGCAATGTAATGTAATGTAATGTAATGTAATGTAATGTATTGTATGAATGTATGTATGTATGTATGTATGTATGTATGTGTGTGTATCTAGTGTAATGTAATGTAATGTAATGTGATGTGATGTAATGTAATGTAATGTAATGTAATGTAACGTAATGTCATGTAATGTATGAATGAATGTATGTATGCATGCATGCATGCATGTATGTATGTGTGTGTATGTATGTATGTATGTATGTGTGTGTGTATGTACGTATGTTTGTGTGTGTGTGTGTTTGTGTATGTGTGTAGGTATGTAGGTATGTAGGTATGTGGTATGTAGGTATGTAGGTATGTAGGTATGTAGGTATGTAGGTATGTAGGTATGTAGGTATGTAGGTATGTATGTGTGTGTATGTAATGCAATGTATGAATGTATGTATGTATGTGTGTGTGTGTATGTAATGTAATGTAATGTAATGTAATGTAATGTAATGTAATGTAATGTAATGTAATGTAATGTAATGTAATGTAATGCAATGGATGAATGAATGTATGCATGCATGCATGTATGTAGGTATGTATGTATGTATGTGTGTGTATGTACGTATGTTTGTATGTGTGTGTGTACACCACGCTTCTCGACTGGACCATGCCTTTGAGAGGAAGAGGAACAAACACTTCGACGATGCTACGACCCGCCGAAGCTCCCTACCCACACTCATCAAGGATCCCGGTGCGTGCTACTTTACCCTCATTCTGAAAGAGAATGTCCTGTGAAACAGGCAGGCAAACATGTCGTCTGCAAGCTTGCATTTTGTGTCAAAACACATAAGCGGGCCCTTTATACAAGTGGATTGGGCCGAAACCTTTGTACTATTGAGAGAGGGTATCTTAGGCCCAAAATCTTATCAACCTGCTTTGAGCAACAGATGTTCCCCTTAAAACAACGATACTCTGGAAAACATGCGGATAGCAGCTGGGGGCCAACTTCTGAAAGCCGGCCATGAAACACGGAGAACTCCATTTGGCTATGGGTCAAAATCCAAATCGTAGCCCCAGTGAACAACCAATCCCCACTAAAATAGATTACAATGGGTGGTGCACCTACCCCAAAATGGTATTATTGGTTTTGACAACCACAGCCATTTGCACTTGGACCTCCGCTGCCCCCAAGCCCCCAGTCCCACGCTCAAAATCCAAGGCCTCAAGATCCAGGTGCCGCAGCTGATCGAGACTGCAGCGCTGCTTGCACTGGGGGCACTCGCCTGGCGGCGAGCGAGCGACGAGCGGCGAGCGGCGCGCTCGCTAAAGCCTGGTCGGAGTGAGCCCTGCCCGGTGAAAGGGAGCCCTTTGTGAGGTCGGTGGAGGGGCGGGGAGAATTTTCCCGTTGACACACTCTAGAACCAAAGATTTGAATTCAAGTCTGCCATGACTCTCCCTGGAGAATGGAGGGGTTCCCATTTACCCTCTAGAACCACAGGTTCTAGTCTGCCGTGATTCCCCCACGCTCCCGACTAGCCGGAAGCCAATTGGCCTCTGCAAATGAGTCACCCAGTCTTGCAAAGTCCTGGCAGCTTCCTTGAATTGGTGGTTACCTCACAATGCCTGAATCATGAAATGGCCACACAAGCTCTGCATTGGTGAGCGCGGCTTTCTCCCAGAGCTCGCCTTAAACAAGTAAGGAAACGCAAACAGAGCAAGCGGGCGAGCTGCCCGGTTCAGGAGCCCTTTGTGAGCCCGGTGCTAGCAAGCAAGCAAACAAGAAAAGACCACCATGCATGCATTGCGCGGCGTGCGTGCATGACATTGCATTGCATTGCATTACACGTTGCCGTTGCTCGACCACAAAGCCGTCACATGGCTAGCAACTCACGGCGACGAAGGGTCAGTTTGTTTGGCGGGAACTTTGCAGATGCGGACGTCTCCAGCACTTAGCGGCCCATGGTGCCCGTGAATCCAGCGCCTTTGGATTGCGCCAGCCAGCTCGCAAGGCAATCCCTGCACGTGGTGCAGAGGACATGTTCGCCACGCAGCTCAAGGAACCATTGTGTACTTCGACACACATGCCTTCAGCTCACTTCACGTTGACACAGATTCCCCACTGTGTTTTGAACAATTGGGTACACAGTCAGTAGATTGGAAAATCATTATTTTCGATTAAAGCAAATCTTTGACCGTCTGCCCGAGAGAAAGCTCGAACGGCCGTGACTTGCAAGAAAGAAATCGAACCCAAGAAGCAACGATGCTTAAGGGGGGAATGCGGCTTCCTTGCCAATCTCTTTGCGCAATGCAACATGGGTCCCAAATCCTCAGCGCCCGGGTCGCATGCCTTCGGCGAATTACTTTCTCCGCACCTTCGCGCGTTCCATCACTGCGACCAGGTGTTTTGCAGGCGAAGTGTCGGGAAAACTACAGATGAGTCAACTTAATTAACACCCAGATTTGAACCAACAAAATCAAGACTGAAATAAACATAAAGTCTGTTCAATGTCCATGCCGTCGACGTGTACGGCAAGCATCTTGCTTCGCGTGATGTCTTGCTGGACATGTGTCGCTTTATTTCAATGCTTCTTTTTCAAAACAGTCGCTTTTCAGACAGCGAGCCATTACTCTTTACAGGGCAAATATTGCTGCTTGAAAGGGGTGTGCAGAGCAAAAAGTGCTCCTTGCACTGAGATATTTGTTGCCACGTAAAGGTCGCATGTCAGAATTTTGTTTGCCTCGTACTGCATGTGTAGACAAAAAGTGTGATGCGTATCAGCATCGGTTCGGTTGCAAGAAGTCGAAATGCTATTTATGCAGCCCATTCCGTTGCGTCGCTGCGAACTCTCTTGTGGCAAACAACCATCCACACTGAGCAACACCTCTGCTTCGGCTCTCCTGTGATAGGCGTGACCGCACTCCGGCACGCTCACCGGTTTCTCGAGCAGGCAGTCATGGCCTTGGCGTCTCGACGAATTGGAGCAGGTGGCGTCCGGAACATTCTCGACTGGATGGCTTTAGCATTTGTTGACAAAAGCACAACTTGCCAAGTACCGGCATGGGCATTTTTTCTTGGCCACTCATGGTCTCAGGTCACTCCCAGAACCAAGCCCACGCTTTTGAGGTGGCCACTGGCCCGAAGCCTCTCGCGAACTGCACCCCTTGCACCAACCCCGGCGAGTCTTGCCTCGATTGTTTGGCCAATCGGCGAGTGCCTCGCTTCTTTGGCTCTCCAAAGTCCCCCGGCAAATCAGGCACATCTCGGGTTCCGCCATGGCCTGGCTGCGGCTAATTTGAGGCACAAAGGGGTGCCATCTCCAGGTCTATCCATGTCACGTCTGCGTCTCTGCGTCTGAAACTCTAGATGGGAACCCGATTCTTTCCATGAAGCCCCCTAGGAATGATCCCCTTTTTTGTGAAGAGACACACTCTTTGCGTATGTATTTATATGAAACAGTAGATTTTCGCGGTGTCGAAACTCGAGTTTTTCCAGTGATATGACGTCATTTTAAGTACGAATTGCAAACTTGCACTTTTCGAGTCCGACATTACCCGATCTGCTTTTCAAAACCCTTTTTCCGCTGACTAAAGTTTGAAACTTGAGACGATTTAAGACACACGCACGTGCGGCAAGGTGCGGGAGGAAGAACCGTTAACCAAAAAAAAAATGTCGTGTGTCCAAAGCCACCCGGCGGCATCAACGTTCTTTACAAAACGAATTGCACAATTGCACTTTTTTGAGACTGACATGACTCCCCTTCAGCGGCGTCTATTAACTAAAGTGGTCGACACCTCCAGCATCTCTCACTCTGGTCCGTAAACTAGAGTGGTCGACACCCACACCCTCATCAGCGGTTTACTAAAGGAAATACAAAGTGGTCGACACCAACAACAACACCAGTTTGTTAGTAAAGGAAATGCTTTCCGCTTGCTAAAAGGAAATGTTGGTGGTTTTTCGACACGTGCTTGGCAGCATGAATCAAGGCGAAACACCCTGCGAACTTGCACTTGTCCAGCCCGACATGACTTGGATGGGTCTGAGATCAAGTGGTCGACGCAGCATCACCAGTGCTTTAGTAAAGGAAATGCTTTTCTGCACGGGAAAAAGTTGCAAACCTGGGAAGATTCGGCATCCGCAAGTGCAAACAAAGTAGCCGGGACAGAAAACATGGAGTTTGGATGGTGTTTTCGAAGAGGGCGGGAAGAGCAAAGGCTTGGCGGAAGAGCCAAGACAAGGAAAACAAAAGTGACCCTGAGCGGACCTGACAAACAGAAGTCCTCCAACATATACATATAATAAAATACATAATAATAAGCTAATAAATGATAACAGTAATGATAGCAATAATCATGAGGATAATAATCATGATGAGAATGAGAATAATGAGAATAATGAGAATAACAATAATAACTAATAATAAACAAGAACAATCACGTAACATCATGGTAAAGCCGCCCGGATGAGGTACAGGAGTTTGGCACATGAATGGCAAAGCTACATCAGCAAAGCTACATCAGCAAAGCTACATCATGTCGCTATTGTACAACATAGATTGAATGAATAACATGTCTGTACTGCTTTTACTTTCCGACGGTGTGCCCTAAGAGGATCATCTCGCCATTGCGAAAGTTCAGGCAACTCAAAGTCGGAATAAAGCTTTTCTTCAGATCTTCCCAGCAATGAACATTAAACTTACACAAACTGCTCGAAACTTGGGACGGTTCAAGGTGCGTACAATGCCGCAAGGTGCGGGAGAAAGTATGCATGTATGCATGTATGCATGTATGCATGTATGCATGTATGCATGTATGCATGTATGCATGTATGCATGTATGCATGTATGCATGTATGCATGTATGCATGTATGCATGTATGCATGTATGCATGTATGCATGTATGCCTGCCTGCCTGCCTGCCTGCTTGCCTGCCTGCCTGCCTGCCTGCCAGTGTTTCTATATCTATATACGCAAAACTACATGTCGTTCACATGCACAACACGAGAAGGTGGCAAAACCGCATCACCCCAGCTTACACAACTTGGAACAATATGCCATCCCTGCTTTCAAAATCAGCTCATGTCCAAGGCAAGCCAAAGCACAATGGCCTGGGGCCAAAATTGCAAATGCTGACATGCCGGTGCCGCTGATAACTGAGGTCTACTAGTTGCAAGCACTGCATTCATGATAATCCACGGAAAACAAACAAAACCGAATATGCATGCCTTGCACATGAAGGCCACATTATTTGGCGTGTGGCTAAAGATGTTTTCTCGAAAGTCAACTGGAGATTGGATCCTGAAGGTGCCCTCAGCCCAGCCTTGCCGATGGCCGAGCCGCCGCACGCAACCGCGAAAGCTATGGCCAACGCAGGTCTGGACACCGAGGGTCAAAGCTTCGTGTCTCATGTCTCTTTGCATTTCCTGGCTCTGGACAAACTCGATTCCTGTGTTGCCATGCGGGAGGTCAAAAGGGAATAGGCACTAGTTCCTGATGTGGATTGTGCTGCGGAGAGATGGGGATGCGGATTCTGCCGAATTGATCAGTCGGCTTGTGCACTTTCTGCCTGGTCCTGTCAGTGCGACCGTGTGCCGTGTGACCCAGAAGAGGCCACAGTAATGCCCTGATCGCATCATTGAAATAACCTGAATGGGACTCGTGCTGCATGTTCCCCTGCGCGACGTTCCCCGAGCCTTTCTTGAGGGGCGTCTGGTTTCGCGGCAGCGGAGATATTGGACATTGGCAGCGGCTGAAGTTTCTCGGCCCCTCCTATGTACACCTCATCCTCATCTGGAAACTCGCTGTTTGCTTTGTATCTTCGCGATGCCCTAGACTCCTAGACACCACAACACAAGCCCTAGCCACTTGCATTTTGCCTCGCATGGACCCACTCACTTTCGCAGCTGGCGAAGCCGTTGCCCACTCTGGGCGCTGGGGGGCGAGTAGCCCTGGCAAGCAAGAAGCAAGAAGTTGGTTACTGCAACAGTGAGAGGCGATGCGCATACCTTAAACAGGTCAAAAGTCAACATCGCAACGAACGAGCGCGCCTCGAGGATACCTTCACCTTGGCAGGCTATATGCACATAGGTGGCCTTTTGGAAAAATAGATGGCCTGGGAAATGGAATAAACCATATCCAAACCAGGGTCAACTATTTTTTAAGCAAACCAACCAAAAAGGACACCTATGTACATGCATGGTACCAATCGAGGGTCTTGATGCCTGGATCTTGCGAGCGTCTTTTCCTCTCCCAACTTGAACACAAAGCCTGCCTGCGGCCCTCGCCCAGTATCCACCTTTGCCAATCATTGCACCGGCTTAGCCTCCAAAACCCAAGTGTTGGATTCGTGAACCAACGTGAATCGCAAGTGCCGCAACGGAAATCATGGCACCCAAGAATACTGAGCACGAGACTGTTTGCTAGTCCAAATCCTTCAGAGCACCCTATGTGTCACAGTCGGCCCAGCCTGCATTCCAATCAAGCATTGAGCCAGCATCGCCTCAAGCATGCACAAACCCAGTGAGGCCCCCTGTGGGCAACCCGGCCCTGCAGCGCGGCAAGCAGCCGTGGCAGGGATTCCTGGGAGCACCGGGAGATTGGATGGCCAGGTCCAGATGTCGTGTTGGTCCGGTTCAGATCACAGGTGTAAGGTGTGATGACAATCTGCACAGCAATACCGCTGTGTATCGCTAACCTGGAAGCCATGATATGCCAACATATCATGTTCCTGCTTGGCATGAGCTTAGACTAGTCGAGGCCTCAAGTTTGACATCTCTACAATTACTGCGAGTTACTGACCGGCGTGAATTTGGAACAAGATTGCTTCCTGACACACGAACCTCGTGAAGCCACGGAAAGCAGAATCCCCAAAATCTTGGCCCGAGACCGGTGGGGCTCACTGCTCAAGCGCCGCACAACTGCAACGTCAGGTGATTCATTATATTTCTCCTGACCCAACAGGATGACCCCGATTGAGGATCCTCTTTCAAGCCTGCGCACTTTTGTCCGACGTCTGCGTGCGCTGGGTCAAATCGGAATAACACGTTGACCGGCTGCCCCAGCTGACCTTTGCTCCAAGCATCTCTGGAACTGGTGAACTGGGCTTCCATGAAGGGGTGTGTTCTATTTGGAGCCGCAACCCCCTCAACCGACTTAGGTGTAAGGCCGAGCTTGGACACCCGGCCCCCTCAAGGCCCCAACGGCCCGATTCTGTGGGCGTGTGTATCTTGTTTGAGGATACCTTTTTCGGGGTTTGTAAAAAAAAAAAAGGAAACCAACATGAACACCACTATTTTGGGGGTCACCTAAAAGAAAGCAAACCCGAATGGCCTTCACCGTTCCCGAGTCTTACGAGCGCGCGGTCCGCCCGCTCTCCTCCTCCAGGAGCTCGGAGGCACACCATTGCCGGCGACGAAGCTCCTGGCGTGAGTCATGCTGGCGCGACAGGCGAATGAGTGAGTCCGGCTGCTGGGAACGAACCGGAAGGGGATGTCTGGAGAGGGGGGAGGAACCCAGGGATTTTTGAAGAAAGGAACCACACGGGATTGTTTATAGGGCTCGTTTCCTGATTCCCTGCTGAGCACCAGCATGTGGTCTCAAAATAAGTGACCCATGGCCGGGTTCCCTTCAAAACCCAGTTGTTGCTTTTTAGGCGCCCGCTATTTTGAGACACACCCATATGAGTCATAATCAAAACCCGGTATTAAAACAGTCTACCCAGCACCATGTAAAGAATTTAGAAGGCGGCCGCAGCTATTTCTGGTTGGGATCGTTCCTTACTAACCTTCTACCCGGGTCTTGATTGTGACCCATATGGTTTTGCGGAGCCGGAGAAGTCACGCTTCGGGGTACTGTCCTGAACATGGCACCCAAAAACGCAGCATGTTGGAGAGGGATCTCCATTTGGGGGACCCCTTGGGTTCCACGTGAATCTGCAGGGGACAAGCCGGACAAGCTATGAAAAACCGATGTCAGGAAAAGTCGTTCTCCAAGGATCTCGAAAGATAGCGGCTAACATCCGCCGGCTGAAGAAACTCTTCACATAACACAGGTGTTCCCAGATCCCCTGCTAAAAGTTTAACTTTTACTGGGTTAAATGGACACCCGCACCAAACCCCTACAAAGCTACAAACCTAAGGAACCGGATGGCTGGGCTTGCCACCAAGCTAAAGCAACCCCAAACATCCAACCTCCATCCCCTCCCCAGGTCCCAACTGGGACCAGAGCTCAAACTTTAAGGCAAATGGCCGTATCCAAAACATGGAAACCAAAATGGCATGGCGAATGGAGACCAACAAAACTAACACCTGCGGTTTTCGCCCTGGCCCTTAAACATTTTGAGCAGCCAAATGCCCGCAGGCGCTCACTCACTCACTCACTCACTCACTCACTCACTCACTCACTCACTCACTCACTCACTCACTCTCTCTCTCTCTCTCTCTCTTGCGTTTCCGCGTTTCCCTCTAGCCTCTTGCTTGCCGTTGGAAGGGGAGCAACATGTTAAGCTAAAACTTCGCAGTTCAGTGCTTGGATTGCAACCGCTCCGCGACAAAATGCATAAAATATGTTCAACGACCACGGCCTGGTTGCAGCACTCCAAGAGCTCCCGCCGGAAGGCGCCGTGCTTCTCCGCCTGCTGCCGCAGCAGCGACCAGGTCAGCGGATGCTCCTCCCAGGTCCGCAAAGGGTCGGTCCCGGGAAGCGAAAGGAGCCGCGGTCAACGGATGGGGATGGCGAGCCTTTCACCTGGGCCAAGCTTGAGGGGAAGTGGAAGTCCAGCGAACGGGGCTTTCCTGAAAGCCGTGCAGTGAATCAAGCCAAGTTGGCAGCTCCGGAGCATATGTGATCCCCTGGGGAGCGAACATCCCCTCCCGTCCAACATATGGACAAGTAAGGTGGCCATGTCTGCGTGCTGCAAATAAATCACATTCGGGAAAGGAAAATTGAGCTCGTGCTGGACAAGTGGCTGGAATGGCTGCATGTGAAGATGGATTGAGCTTGCAATTCTGGGATATAGGCCGTCAAGCAGCCACAAACTCAGAGCTTGAGAATAGCACATTAGAAAACTGAAGTGACACATCTAACAAAGCAATCCTTTGCCGCCCCAGTGGAATGCGTTGGCAATCACCCCGGACATGTCCAACTAAGCGCCCTTCCTGATGAGTCGGAAAGCTGACAAAACATGTACAAGCCTCCAGCACATGCCTGAGAAACGTCTGCAATGTACTGGGAAACTGCCTCCGTGGAATTCCGGGTTGAAGCTTGTATGCAGCACATGTTGCAAGCAAGCTGGGAAGCACTCCGTGCATACCGCACGGAAGAACTTCACAACATGTTCCAAGACATACCTTGCAACAAAATGAGGGGCGTGTCGAATATCACGGTCCCTTGGTAGCTGTTCACAGGGCAGACACATTGAAAGTCCGTGGTCTGGGAGGGGTTCAATGCAAACACAATCTGTAGTCAAGCCGAATGCGGGAAGCCCCACCCTCGGCACATCAACCTGCATTGAAGTGCTATCCAATGTGTCCTTGCCACCTTCATTGAGAAGCTCCAAATCGCTTCCCGGGCCAGGGCTTGGAGTTCAAGAGAGAAGTGAAGACACCGGGTGTAGCGGGGCGCATGTCTGCTTTGCTGAACTCAAGTGTTTATCTGGACAAGGCAGGCAAGTGTTTTTTCTCAGTAAGCACTAATAACCCGGCACACTATCCTCCCCTTCATCGGGATCCATGTTTGTTTTTGGGTCGCCTTCATTGCAACGTCAAGCCGCAAAGCAGCCTCGAAGCGAAAGCAAGCGAACCGTCGCCCTCCTCAAGCTTTACGTGCGCCAGCTGCTGAACCAGGCGGACATTGTCTGCCTACCACTCCCACCACCCCATGCCCCGAGTTTGTTCCTCGCATGTTTGTTGGTAAAGTACTGCCTGGCATGTGGCGGAAGAAGTGGTGAAGAGCATGCTTGGTCCTTGGGATGCGCCTCAGGAAGCTCTGGTGATGATCCACGCTAACACAGCCATCAGCCATGAGGCGCAGACCAGCTAAGAACGGCCGCTTTTTTTGGTCTGTCGCGCCGCGCATCACCGCGAACCCGACGCTACCCGGCTACCCGACGACGCAGCCAGCAGTCTCAGAGCTTGCCAGTCAAGATCGTGCCAAGGCAAACATGGCGAAGCCAACGAACACACTTGCAACACGCTGTTCCCAATATCGGGTTACTGCGGGTGGAGTATCTCATGTTGAGCAGAAATACCCGGAATCACATGGTTTCCTGAAGCTCCAAGGGCCAAATCAATGGAGCACGTCGGGCTCGCCCAAAGCACGCGTGAAAAGAGCGAGCTGATGAGGTCAATTCAACTTACTCATTTGATAGACCGCTCCAAAGCCTGTGTGGTGGGCGCCGCTCTGGAGGTTGAGGTGCTTCGTCAACTCGGTTACTTTCTGCTCCCCTGCTAAAAGTTTAACTTTTAGTGGTTTAATGGAAAACCCATTAGTTGGCAAAAAGCTAAAGTCCTAGCAGCCAAGCAAAATGCACCAAAGATTTAGGATGGAAAGGGTGGCAGACTTCAAGTGACTTCAGCTTTGCGGTCTCGTTGCTCAGTGACAGATCTGGCTGCATCTCTGTGGCAAATGGAGTTGATCGCTCCAGGTCTCCTTGTCGAACCTTCTGCAAGCTGATGCATGGTGCACTCCAGCACTGTGTACAGAGTATATGATCGACAGCCCATCATGTATTGGAATGCAGTCACACTGATTAGAAGGAAATATAACTGTGAATGTTGGCAACGGTTCTCAAGTCAAAACCAGATGCTGCTCAATGATCTGGCAAACTTGTAGGCGCTGCAAAGCTGAATGCAGTGTTATTTGGCTGCCACAAAACCTCAACTCAGGGTGCCTTTAGAAGGTCACATGCGGAAAACTCGAAAGAAAATGGATACATGAAGACCGGCCACTGTGCGGTTTTGTGCTATTTGTTTTTGCCAGCACTTACACTACGAGTTGTGTGAACATTCTAATCTCTTCGATTGATTCTGGAAGACCGGCCATCTTGTGCGTGTGATTTTGTCTCCCTCAAGTTACTCTTAATGTTCTTCCGCGGAGCCTGGCGGATCAACTACTGGAACTGCATATCCCCACGACCCTTCTGGGCCTTTCACACACCACAGGTGTGTGATCGACAGTGCGTTCAGCGCACTCATCTAGCCTCTTCAGGCAACAGCACATTAAGGCAAGATGTTCAAAACTGGAAGTTATCTAAATCGGCGTTGTGTAGGAATTGTCTTTATTGTCATGACCTCTTGAGATTGTAACAGGTGTTTAAAAAAAATAAAAAATGGCAGCACTCAGACCCGAAGCATATGGCAATCCTCTTACATGCTTGAAAGTCCTGGCTTCATTGGCTTCTGCCATTTGAAGGATGCAAAGGGAAACACCGATTGGCTCATGACCACAAGGAGGCAAACACAGCCCGCTGCTGGACCTTTTTGCCCCGGCCAAGTTGTACTATGGGGCCGTCAACCCTCGGTCGTCACAAGGAGACAACTTAGCCGTCCATCAACTTTTGTCAGCAAGTGTCGCTTTGATAGATTTCAGGGAAGCCGATATGGCAAATGTCCGCACCAAATAAGCCCACCAGTCGTTGAATGAACGGGCTAGCCGCATTCCCTGCCTTCCCCCCAGACCGTGTACTCGCCCAAAAAAGCCTGCCGTTCCTCGAAACCAACAAGATACTGCCTGCGCAATGTTAAAGAGATTGAGTGCAAGGTTAAAGGGATTAGCCTGTAAATGATTTCTGGGCAAACCGCCGCAGAACCCGGATTTTGCATCCGACATAATCGCTGTCCACTAGATCCACCTGCCAAATCCGAAGCGGATCCGGATGCAGCTCTCGTCGCCTCACGCCTTGGAAGGAAGCGCCACAGCAAGACTTGCTGGTGCAGGGAATGAGAATTGGAATGACCCGAATAGAAACCATCCAACTGGTGGAGACCTTTTTGGTTTAGCCAAAGCCTGGGTTCATTCCCGCATTTACTGAGCACCAGCAAACACGACGACTGGTCTGGAAGAACTTCGAGATTTTCCTTGGGGGGTGAAAAAGAGAGGAAAAGGCGATGGGTAAAGGTGGGGAAGAGCTCTCTAAAGGGACTGCTCAGCAAAGAGACCGGCGGTCTAACAGCCTTAACGTACATTGCCTCCCACTCCTCTTTGAGTCTGAAAGGCCTGGATAAATCACAGCTCGGTCTCACTCTGGTTTCCGTTTCAGAAATAAAGCATTGCGGGGACTGCTCATTCGAGAAGCTCTCCCGGCCCACCAATTAGATCCTTGCAAGGAGTTCAACCATTCTGCCAGTCAGGCTAATAGCTAACCCAAAGGCCAATGAATCGACCTTACGAGAGGTTGAGGAGGATGAACAGACTTTCTGAAGCATGCCATGCCAACAAAGCTCATGCTCTTCATCAAGAGAAGGAATAAAGGAATGCAAGTACTTTGCACAGCGCACTCAGATTCTGACCTTCTTTGCGCTCTTTTTTGCAACCGGTTTGGCAGCAGCCTTAGGCTTCTTCTCCCCTGGCTTCGGTTCTTCCTCGTCTTCATCTTCATCTTCATCTTCATCTTCATCTTCATCTTCGTCTTCCTCCTCCTCCTTGGGATCAAGGTTGATATCCGCAACTCGAAAAACGGTCCCGGGGATTGGACTCAGCACAAGGAACTATGCTAAGCTGCTGAATGGCTATTGTGTGCAAACCAGCCCTCGTCCTTCAGTCAACATCAGGACTGCACAAGAGACACGTCTGCAAATTCGGTTTGATTTGCGAGATGTTTCAAACAAGCATGGTATCAAATGTGCCTGTTTCGAAGGCGCCCTACATATGCTGAACAATATTTAACCACTGCGCCTCAGCTGCAAAACATGCGGTCCCTATGCCCGTATTATGCCATTATCTCCCACAAACTTTGAAATTATGTTTTGCCAACAAAACGAGAACAGCTCGCCCCTGCATTGGCTACGGCGGCTATGAATGTCTTCCTCCAGGCTGCAAAACATAAAACAACTCACCAAGGTCGATCACAAGTATTGACTTTGTGCTTTGTGGATCCAGTACATATCCAAGTGGGTGGATAAGTCGCAATGCATTGGCCACATGATTTGTGTGTGTGTGTGCTTGTGGGTGTGTGTGTGTGTGTGCAAAGCTACAACATTCGCCCACATCTTTCCAAGCCTTTCAGTATGATACCCGTTCCCCAGGCAAAATGCCAAAAACCTCACGGACCCAGGAGAAAACCGCAAAAGGAGGGATCCTGCCTAGCTTCAGCGGCGGGGCTCCACCAAGGCTTTTATTTTGGCTTTTGAGACCCCTTTGCCATGACTTCACTCCCGTCCTCCACTTTCTCAGCTGCCTTCGCCTTGTACTCCTTCATGGCTGCCTGCCGAGTACGAGACCGTCCGTTTGAGGCCGCCGCCTGGTTGACAGCGTTGGACACACGTCGGAACCAGTTCGGCACGAACAATCCAAAGCGGTGCCTGAAAGAAAAGGTCTGAATTTGTGGAGCCTGAGGCTGGGATGGAGTGCTTGAAAGGGAAATCTTCACACATCCGCACCTGTTTGTGCCAGTAGTTCAGTGTCTTCGCGCTGAACAAAGAAAAGCCTGTTGGTTTGTCAGACCGGCCGCCAAGTGTGCTATCATTGTTGCAAGGGATGATAGGGATGATAGGAAAGCCAATGATATGGCGGACGAACCAGCAAACATCAACTGTCGGAGTAACCCGTGTAGCACAAATGGCTATAGCAACCCATACAATATGGTACCCAATATGGTGTGCTGGATTGCTTCAAGCGTGCAGGCGCAATCAAATGGAGGTCGAACTAGCAAGCATATGTTTGCTTGTTGCAACTGCGATCACACATCCTGCATTTCAATCTTTAACACAACATGAAAGGAAGTTGTGTGTCGATTATGCAAATGGCCAAAGCAGCGCAGCATTTGCCGCACTTGCTGAAGGTGTCACAGCCGTCTTCATCCACATCTGCCAAATGCAATGTTGCTCGTGGCTCGTGCATTCTTAACTTGCTGCCGCAAGTCAAATAGCGCCATGGGCAACCCGCCTCGTACGCTGCCTTCTTCTTCTCATACTTGTCCTGGCCAGTGATTGGGCATGAACCCTTCTTACAATCGCTGTTTGCCACGTAGCACTCGTCTCGGCCTAATGTCTCTCGTGTGACTACCTTCGTTGCTGCCAGCTCACTTCATTGAAGTGCCAAACTGAGTGGGCAAACACAATTCTCAAGCAGCGGCGCGTTGCTTGATGGGGAAACACTTTAAAGCATCTGTTGGGGGTGAAAATATTGATTGTCTGCGATGTGTACAATTTCCGTGGGGATACCCCTAAAGTCAAACCCTGATTCCTGATTGCCGGGAACGAAAAAGCACGCTTTCAGCTACATCAAGAGCTCGCAGCAACGCGAAATACCGAAATGACTCCAAAGCAGCGAAGCACAACCATGGAACCGATCGCAGCTACACATTTCAAAATGCCAGAAACGCATCAAACTGAATCAATTGAGCGACATCGCAAGGAGAAACTAACAGGCCAACGCGAGCCAGACAGGTGCCAGCGCGTGGCAATTGCCAGTAGGGAGTGAGGAAGAACAACATGCCCTTCGTGCAGAGTTCATCTCCAATCGAATCGGTCAGGTTTGCTGAACGAACACATTCAGGCCACGTGTCTGTTGCGGTAAGGATCAAGAGTATGCTTGCTGTTGACCCCGGAACTTCATAAACCCGTAGGAAGTTGGTTCCCCTAAAGTGGCTGACCCCCATAAGGCTGTCTCTTTTTTGGGGACCCCTCAAAATGGTGCTTTTCCTCTTGATGTCCTTTTAAAACCCCAAAAAGTGGGTACCAAAAAAAAGACATAAGGGGATTCTTCCGCCCGCCTGGTAGGGCTTCTTCTGCGCCTCGGTCAGCGCCGCCCACTTCTTGCCCGCCAGTTTGGAGACTTCCGGCGCTCTGGAGCCCTGGCCAACGGAACCGAGCGGCCCCGAATGGCCAGCTCGCCACGGCTCGCCACGGCCAGCTCAGGAAAGTGTGGCCAGGATTAAGCAGGAGGGGCAAACCGCAGGTTTTGGTCTATGTTTCCACTTACCAGGGTTCCATTTTGGTACCGGTTTTTTGAGCCACGGCCAACTCGCTGCAAAGACGGTTCATGGCCTTCCGATTCCCATGGCCCGAAGAAGCGGCCAGAAGTACCCAAGGGCCAAAAAAGGTGTGTGCCGAAACAGCACTGGGCAAACCGCAGGATTTTTATGGATGTCCCGGGGCGTCATTGATTCTTCCACACGAAAAGGAGCTCTGATCAACCTGGCACGCCTCAATTCTTCAGTCACAAACACTTCATGCCATGGCAAAAGCAGCACGACTGCACGACTGCTTGCTCTTTCTCACTGAAATAAATGCGTGCGCAGGTTTGCTCACGATGCTGGCAAGTTCTTTCTCCATTGTCTTGGCTTAGCGGCTTTGGCTACCCCGCAACCTTGCCCCTTGCCACGTTGGCCAATGGCAGCCGCCCGTCCCCTCGCAATAACCAAGAAGTACACATGCCATCTGTCTGGCTCAAGTCGCAAAACTTCCACGCCATCCCCAACAGAGCTGCCTTCGGCAATGAATCCATAAAGGTCTGCCTGTTTTCGGCGAGGAACACACCTAGGCGAAGAAGTGCTGGAAGGGCTTGGCCACACAAGTCCCATACCCGATTCACATACACGCCAGTTGTGCTGCAGGTGAGAAGCGGAATCCATACATAAGCTGTCAGGGAACCGAGCTTGAAAGCTGGAATGAGCTTGAAAGCTGGAATGAGTAGAAAGCAATTGAACTTCCAGCAGGTGGGGAGTGCGCGGCAAGTTGCCTCACCTCAAAAGGTATAACCACTCTTGTCATGCTTCAATGCACCTGGACTATGTCCATTTGCACCCCAAATGACCCAGAACATGCTCAAGAAAACATCACCATGGCAGCTCCATTTTTGCTGGCCAGGTGCCGCAACCTTTTGGAAGCTAAATGGCACGAAACAAACCTTTTGGAAAGGTCCCGTTTTTTGACAGATATTTTTCTGTAGGTCATCAAGACTTGATCCTTTTCTTCCCTGACTCCTTGCGGGCCTCAGAAAGGCGTTTGAGTGGCTGCGCCGCGCGCCAAGCAACTAAAGAAAACTGTGGGAACATTGCCCTGGGTGTATTTTTGGAAAAATCGATAGGGTACTAAGTGACGTCTTCGTTGAACAAAAGCAAGCCATATGACATCTATCAGCACATTTCGCTCTACCTGGAATGTAGCGGTTGAGTCTTCTGTGTTGTGTCAAACATGAACTAGTCTCCCAATGTGTTTCATGACCCGCTACACCCTGCAGAAGGTCAACCCGGTCATCACATCCAGCCTCCCTGGCCAATATGAAGTCTAGCTCTTGGCTTTGATTGCCCCAATCTATACAAGTGCCACGGGCCCTCCGTCTCTCCACGCAGCCCGGCACCCACTGGGCCAAGCTGCCGTAAGCGCCCCCTGCTGGCTTCTTGGGCCGGTCTGGGTCCTTGTCTCCCCGCTTCGTCTTGGAGACGCCCTCCTGACGCGTTGACGCGTGACGCAAATCCCAGGCCATAGGCTTCTCAAAATTGTGATGCTTGAGATAGCGTGGCTCAAAACCGTTTTGGGATCCCATTTTGGGGTAGGTGAATTCACCACCCATTTTTGGACCTACTGTTGTGGGGATTGGGATGTTCATTGGGGGTACGGGCTTTTGACCCACGGCCAGACCTAGACTGTTGATATAGGGGCCCCACTGAGAACACCGAATTCATTGACCTGGCTGAAAAGGAGCTGTACTTGAAGATGAGAACAAGCGCTGCTCTGTGATCTGCAACCTCTACCCTTGGCAGCGACCCTCTCTGAACAGCTTTGTGGAAATCGGACGATTCACGCGCGATCCACGGATCCACGCGCAAGCCCGGCCTTTTCTTTTCGCTTTTGAGTCCTGCATCGCATAGCAAAAGCGAGGACCCGATCACATGCTCACCGTGACAAAAATTTGCTGACAGCACAAAAAGCCAGCAACTCGCTGGAGGCACTCGTATAGCTTGTCCCTCTGCAAGTCTTTCCTAGCTTGTCCCCTTGCGTCAGCTTGTCAGCTAGGCTCTTTCGCCGCGTCGCCACCCCGCGTGGCGTCGGCAAAAAGCAAAGGCATGCCACACAGGAATCAGCTCCAGCCCTGGGGGCATTCCGTGGAGCTGAGATGCAACGGTCTGATTCGAATGTGACCTCTTCGTCTTGGCACTTTGGGGCAGGAAATGACAGCACCTATTCCACATAGGCAAGTGCTCGGACGCTTGTAGGCCCAGTTTGTTCGTACCCAGCAACATGAATAAGCATGCAATTGAATCAAAGGTTGGTACAACGTAAGCTCAACATGCGCGAATTCAGTCATGTCTTTGTCAGCTCTGAACAGAATTGCGTCTTGCCCCACAGAACTGTTCGGGAATGCAAGATGTCCCAATCATCCGTCCTCTCTCAGACAAATATACAAAAACGACAAAACTGGCCCGATTCCTCAACAGACTTGATCATTCTGAAGCCTTGCAGTGTTGTTTGCAGTGCTGCGGCTACGGAATCACACAGGAAATGCGAATGCTATGGTAGCTTGCTTGCTTGCGCTTGCTTGCCACGGAAGGTCAGCGGATCAGGCGTATTTCATGTTTGGCTTTGGCACCATTTGGATTTGGACATTTGACCATACAAGTCGCCCTTTGGTGCGATGCCACGTGTCAATGCCTCCCTGTCTCCCCCCCTTCAAAAAAAGAAGGAAAGAAACAGACAAAAAGAAGGAAAGAAGGAAAGAAACAAAAAAGAAGGAAACAAGGAAAGAAAGAAAGAAGGAAAAGAGGAAAGAAGGAAAGAAAGAAGGAAAAGAGGAAAGAAGGAAAGAAAGAAAGAAAGAAAGAAAGAAAGAAAGAAAGAAAGAAAGAAAGAAAGAAAGAAAGAAAGACACAAAAAAAGAAAGAAAGAAGGAAGGAAGGAAGGAAAGAAAGAAGGAAGAAAGGAAGGAAGGAAAGAAGGAAGGAAAGAAAGAAAGAAGGAAAGCAAGAAAGAAAGAAAGAAAGAAAGAAAGAAAGAAGGAAAGAAGGAAAGAAAGAAAGAATCAAAGAAAGAAAGAAAGAAAGAAAGAAAGAAGGAAGGAAGGAAGGAAGGAAGGAAGGAAGGAAAGAAAGAAGGAAGGAAGGAAGGAAGGAAAGAAAGAAGGAAGGAAAGAAAGAAAGAAAGAAAGAAAGAAGGAAAGCAAGAAAGAAAGAAAGAAAGAAAGAAAGAATCAAAGAAAGAAAGAAGGAAAGACACCAAGAAGTAAGCAAGGAAGGAAGGAAAGAATGAATCAAAAAAGGAAAGAAAGAAAGAAAGAAAGAAAGAAAGAAAGAAAGAAAGAAAGAAAGAAAGAAGGAAAGAAAGAAAGAAAGAAAGAAAGAAAGAAGGAAAGGAAGGAAAGGAAGAAAACAAAGAAAGAAAGAAAGAAAGAAAGAAGGAAAGCAAGAAAGAAAGAAAGAAAGAAAGAAAGAAAGAAAGAAAGAAAGAAAGAAAGAAAGAAGGAAGGAAAGAAAGAAGGAAAGAAGGAAAGAGGGAAAGAAGTGAAAGAAGGAAGGAAAGAAAGGAAAGAAGGAAAGAGGGAAAGAAGTGAAAGAAGGAAGGAAGAAAGGAAGGAAAGAAAGAAAGAAAGAAGGAAAGCAAGAAAGAAAGAAGGAAAGAAAGAAAGACCACAAAAAGTCAGAACAACTCGCGGTCAGGTTATCAGCCTTATGTCCTGAGGGCACGGACACCTTTTTGCACTTCACCGCCCGCTGCTTTGAACTTCTTCATGTCCTGGGGCAAGGAAGCGGCTGCTCGTGAAGCTGCAGTTGGTATAGGGCTGCTTGATGGGCTTGGTGGTTTGATTTGGTTAGTCACTGCTTTTTAGGGGCTTCGGGCTGGTGCTCGCTGGAATTAGGTTGGGAGAACTCAATGCACTGAAGGTTGAGGTAGGTGCGGGGCTGCCGTCCGGATTGGCGTGTCGGGAGCTCATTTCGAACCTTTTTGGTCGGTTTTGCTTGTTGCTTGGCGGTTTGAGGGTCATGTAGTGAGAGTGGTTGCTGAATTGGGTTGCTTTCTGGCTGGCTTGCAGGGCGATCTCCAGCCGGCTCGTTTCGGCTGGCTGGCTCCGGCTGCCTCTGGCACATGGAAAACATGGCAGTTCGCCATAGCCCACCCAAGCGGGGCTCCAGGGCACGTCGACAACTCTTCGGCGGTTGAGACAAGAGGCCCTTGGCCAAACGTCGTAGGATGACCATTGTTGCATGCAGACCATCCGAAAATATGGCATGAATAGACTCATCCCTGAGGCCATCGGCTCGAAACCGCTCAGAGAAACCCAAGAAACCCCGAAACCCGAGGCCCGGCCATACGGAAAGGTGGGTTTGGTGCAATGGCCATACCCAGTGGAAACCTGGCAGCAAAAGGGGGCCTTGCCAGGATGACAACGTGCCAGGTGTGTAAGCTGAATGGACACACTCTAGCTGTAAGATTGCACCTTTTGCAACTAACCGAAACTGTGGCCGTCCGGAGTCCCCACAAGGCGAAGAGAGAGAGAGAGAGAGAGAGAGAGAGAGAGAGAGAGAGAGAGAGAGAGAGAGAGAGAGAGAGAGAGACAAAAGAGAGAGAGAGAGAGAGAGAGAGAGAGAGAGAGAGAAAGGTGCACAAAATGGGACCAAGGTAAATAGAACCAAGGACTAAAACCTGCGTTTGAAGCGCCGACGTCCTCCTCATACTTCTTTTTGACTGCCTCGAACTTCTTCTGATATGGAGCCTGGCGAGCATATGCGCCACTTGCCAACGAACCACTGGCCGGCGACCAAGACACGCCAAAGGGCCCACATGGCCCAAACGAGATTCACAAGCTCTTGCAGTTGCCAAAGTGTGGGGTTGTGCTTGTGTGAGGGGCGAGAACGGACTGGCAAGTGACTGGTGCAACCGCTGGAGGGACTTGCACGGAAACAGATCAGCGACTTGTGTGCTTTGAGGGAATGAGTCAAGGGCCATGGGCCATCCGAATGAAGGGCACGGAACGACAACAGGAGTCTGCCGCAGGAATTCCCACGCTTGAGCTTCGAGCTGCACTTGAAGTCTCTTTGTTGACCACGCCATGTTGGGCGGCCATTTGCCCTCACTTTCAATTGGATTGGAAAGCCAAACAGTAGAACCGTGGTCTCTTTAAGAAAACGATGTATTGCTCGGCCTAGTCTGTGGCTAGAAGAATCCCACAACTGGTCACAGTTTCAAACTGTGTGTGTTTGCCACACTGTGCCAGCCTCACATATGTCCATTTGGTGTTGGCAAGCGTGCGTCTACTCGTAGAAGAACTGTCATCATGTCCATCATCGGCCGGGTGCACTCGTTGCATAAACTGAACCTCTCATATCAACCAGGGTCATCCGTGCCAGCTAAAACTCTCCCCATGCATGGTGGCTCCCAGATCAAACTGCAAGGAACCAATCTCCCGTATCAGTCATCCGCCACAGAAATTCCCCATTGAGCACGAGAAAGGGTTTCAAGGGAGAGCACAAAAGGAGACAAGGAAAGGGAAGTAGAAAGAGACAGAGACAGAGATAGAGATGGAGATAGATATAGATACCGACGTAAATATGGACATAGGGACAAACAAACGATCGATTTCGAAAGTGCCGGCCTTGTCCGCTTCGGTCATCTTTTTCCATTCCGCGCCAGCCATCTTGGAAATTTCTGAGGCCTTCTTGCCTTCACAGGCCTCGCAGACACGCCAAGCCAGAATCAGCCAAGAACTCTCTGCCAAACCAGAAAACCAGCTGAACTATGGCAAGTTGCAGGGCTTGGCATCAAGATTGTGTGTGTGCCATGCTCCAAATCCTCAAATTACGCAGCACAATCGTGTGTAATGGCAAGCGCAAATTGCCAATGAGTTGTCGACAACTGAAGGCTCAATGGTCATCCTTATGAACAAGTATGGGCCGAGATCTTGCAGCCTGGTAGGTTCGGGCTCTCTGCATCTACGGCATCTCTTTTGACATCGTGGGGTCGGAGAGTACACAAGACCCAGGGGGAAAAAGAACAAAAAACGGGGAGCCAAAGAAGGATGAGACAAGTGCAACCAAGAGGTAATCTTGCGTCCTACCCGTTGGTGTTTAAGCAATGATCCAAGCTAGGTGCCTCACGAAAAAATGATTCACAATTGACAAAAACATGGACTGTGGCCAACATGCTCATATGATTCTTGCTAAACCACCTTTGCTGGGGTATATGAACTAATCAGATCTGATCCCGCCAGAACTCCAGCAGGCCCAATGCTTAGTTCTCCTGGAGGGTAATGCATCCCGCTCGCAAGCCTCTCTATTTCTTGAGAAGCTGAAAGTCAATCTTAAGTAGACCTTGCTGTCAGGAGGCATTCAGGGATTCAAGACAGTCAGTAGCGTGGTACACTCGTTGCCTGGGGTATTTCCACCTTGAACTGAGCTTGTGGTGATTTTGATGCCATGAAGCTCTTTGCAAAGAGTCATTTGCCGGGAAACCCACTATATGCTTCCAAATTGACCATGTGTTCTGATGCATTCAAAATGCAAGTCCCGGGCTGAGCGATGAACTGCTACAAGATCGCATTTGCTCGATATGGTCAGTGATCCTTCGCAACAAACGCAAAGTCCAGGCAACATACAGCAACAAAATCAGCAACGCGCAAGCAAACGCACAAGCAGCACGCAAGCACCGCAAGGCTCTTCTGAAAGATCTTCCAAAACATCATACGACTCTTCGGCAAAACTGTTTTAAGCATGCTCAGCACGCGCTGAGCATGCTGACTGAAACTCGCCGCGTTTGTGTGTTTTCTCAGTTGAAGTGTGTGTGTTTCTGTCCTGGATAGACGTGCTGAAGCGACGGCTGTAGACATGATTGTGGGTCAAAACCCTGTACCCCTGCACATCAAAATAGGTGGCAAATGGATGTTCATCCGCAAAATGGAGCCATAGGTTCTGCCCCGTGGCCAAATGCCTCCGAACCCTGCAGATCAGCTTCCACCTCTCTGAACCGCGCCCACCCGCCTTGGTGAACTGCGGGCCTGAGCTGCAAGTTGCCCCAAATGTGCATAGGTTAGGCATAAGCACTCGGGTGTGTGTATGTGTGTATGTGTGTATGTGTGTATGTGTGTATGTTTGTATGTTTGTATGTTTGTATGTTTGTATGTTTGTATGTTTCTATGTTTGTGTATGTGTTCTTTGCTTGTGCTATTGCTGAAGACTATGCGGTAATGCTAGGCTCATCTTGTCTTTTTCCAAGGACAGGGAATTCCACTTCAGCTTTGCCCGTGGGTGCAACCGATAAGCGGTTGATCCGATCGGATGGCATGGCACCGCAGCAACCTGGCACCCGGCAGGTGCAAAGCGGCAACCATGTCAATTGGATGACAAGTTTGATGCAAAAGGTGCCGTGGAGATAAACCTACACCCGGCTTCACAAAGAAAGCCCGATGTTCATAAAACAGCACCCGCTTCTGGGAAGACACCCTTTTCGATGCCTTCTTCCATCTTCACGAAGATTTCTGAACATACGCCCCATGTTGAATACTGGCAGCACAGTCAGCAAGCAGCTCACGCCTCACGTCCTCACGTGGCCAGCTCTATGGCCCACGCAGAAAGTCTCTGGCCGTATGTTGAGGGCGACCAAGCATGTTCTCAGCTGGCCATGGGTCAAAATCCTGTACCTCCAGTGAACATCCCAATCCACACTAAAATAGGCTAAAATGGGTGGTGCACCTACCCCAACATGGTACCATTGGTTTTGACCCACAGCCAGCTAGTTGGAGGGACTGATATTGACAAGTTGGAGCATGGCAATGTGTGACACTGCTACCACGGCAGCTTTTTTTGTGCGAGCATGTACGGCACAAATCCAACCCCAAAGTTCCAGAAAATCCGCCGACCCTCTGCCTCCCGTCCCAGCCTCCTGCAGAGGGGACCGGCGTGGGATGCAACTGGAAGTGATTGGAATCAATGATAGTCCCTGGGGGACACGCCCGAACCGACAAAAAGTGGATTCCTGGGACCGGTCCCGGGACCGGTCCCGGGACCGGTCCTGGGACCAGTCCTGGGACCAGTCCTGGGACCGGTCCTGGGACTGGTCCTGGGACCCTGGTTCTGCTGTTTCAGATTACTTGTAGTCAGCCAAAACCGGTCCTGGGACCGGTCCCGGGACCGGTCCCAGGACCGGTCCCGGGACCAGTCCCAGGACCGGTCCTGGGACCAGTCCTGGGACTGGTCCTGGGACAGGACCGTCCCAGGACCGGGGTTTGGTCCTGGGACTGGACCAGTCCTGGGACCAGTCCTGGGACCGTCCTGTTTGGTCCTGGGACTGGTCCTGGGACCGGTCCCAGGACCAGTCCTGGGAAGCCGGTCCGGGATCAAGTCCTGGTGTGACCGCTGGTATTGGGTCCCAATTCAAACTGCTGTGCTGCCACCTCAAACCGCTCCAGACACCTTTCCGGACTGGCACCCAGGACACTGGACAGGGTCCCAGGTCGTCACTCCCTGCGACCAAACCGGCCCGTGCGGTTATTGACGTCCTTGTGGTAGTAGAGGATCCCTGGATCTATTCTGCAAGAGAGTCCAATACGTCAAGTCAAACCGCGCCAGACTGGGACCAGCCTGCTGCCGGCGACCGGTCCAGGGCAACTTCGGGAGGGCCAGTTTCAGGGCGACCCCGGGAGAGGCGACTGCTCCCGGCCAACTCGAAGTGACTTGGGCGCGAGCCGGCCCAAGTGGTAATTAGCGGACTAGCTGCCATATTTCTGACTTTTCCGTTAATCCTTGTTTGTGGTCAACTTCGGGAGGGCCAGTTTCAGGGCGACCCCGGGAGAGGCGACTGCTCCCGGGCCAACTCGAAGTGACTTGGGCGCAAGCCGGCCCAAGCGGTAATTAACGGACTAGCTGCCCTATTTCTGACTTTTCCGTTAATCCTTGTTTGTGGTCGTAGAGGATCTATAAGTGGTCCCTGGGTTTGCGGACGTGTTTCAGGACCGGTCCTTGTGACTTTTCCCTTAATGCGCCGAGGGTCGGCGGCAGCAGGCGGGAGCCTGGTTAATATATCTTCATGAGTCCTGAGTCATGTTCAAACCAAACCAAAAACAGGGATTCCGAGAAAGAAAACAAACAAAAAGGGGGGGAAAAAAACACAGGAAGGTCCCGGGAATCGCTTCAAACTCCTCGGCTCCCCGGCGCTTGTCGGCGAGAAAGCAACCATATGCGCCTAGCAAGCACCGGCCAGGTGGAGTGACCATGTAGGCCCATGTACGAAACCAGTTGAGCAACTGGCATGGCCAGTTTGTGGGTTAAAGATCTAAACAAGAATGCGGTGATTGTTGAAGGCTTGGTCCAGTTGGATGACCAACATGCTACGTGTTGACGTTGCGATACTGTTCGGCTTGCTGTTCTTCTCCAATTGTTGAGAATGGGACACTCTTCTGCACCATCCAATGCACATCTTGTGCTTGATGATGGTCAATTCACACCATCCAGAGAGGCCATGCCCATTCCACATTTGCCACACCGGATCAAAGGGTTGAATTTCAGAAGACCTTATGATTGCTGGGTGCAGGGTCTTGTAAAATTGATGGTGCAAAGGGACATGTGAGGAATCATGGTGAATTGTGCAGCATTGAAATATGATTGTGCACCATTCAATGATTGCTTGGTGGAGGGGAATCCCTCAACCGCTCGATGCATAATTCCTTCGTTCACGAGCATCGCTTCTGCAAATTCACGAAGCTCCCAAAAGCCAAGCTACAGGCCTCCCACCGGCTTCTTCGGCTGCGAACCTGCCGGCCAGGATGGTCGCCTTTCCTCACATGGTTGAGTGACTGAGAAGAATGTCAATGGAGGACCATCCATGTTGGCACCCCACATGCAAAAACATGGAAATCCGGGATACAGCCCAGTGTTTGCGGGAAGAAAGCTCGCAGAGAGTTCAACCAGAGCCCGGGTTGTGTTATGTTATGATATATATATATATATATATATATGAAGGCATTTGCCCGTACTCAATGTGCATGTACGCGATGTGCATGTACAAAACATGAGGACACAGCTTGTAGCATACAATGTACAATGTCTACACATGGGCGTGTCGTTTTTTAGGGCTCCATTTTGGGCCGGATCTAAGGGGAAACTACAGGGAAACCCTCCTTTTAAGGGTACCCCAAAGGACAAACCCATTTAGACACCATGTAGATGCAAAACTCACGGACCCAAGCTACGCCTGTCCTCTTCCCAAAAAAAAAAAAACTGCCCCGTGACGCCTTCAGGCCTCTTACGTTTCCTAGCTTTTCAGAGTTTCATGCCTTGCTCATCATGAACTTCACAGAGCATGCTTCTCTGCGCCCACGAATGCCAAAATGTGAATGCGCTCGACGCGCACGCTCACCCCACGCACATGCCACATGTTAATGTCCCTGACATTGTGCGTTCCCGCTCCACAAAGCAGACACACACACACACACACAGAAACGCCACAGTGCACGCCTACTGCACTGCACACAAACATGACAACTTGTTTTTGAGTACCTGACACACGCGCTCGTCCCACTGAACACGCACGCCAACATGTGTAACACATGCCAACATGTTTACATGTTGGCCACACCCCTGTCAGTTGTAGGCACTGGTGCCTTCCCGTGGTGTGTCATTGACTGCAAGAGTTGGTCATTGGGATGTCTTAAGAACCTGTGGATGGTTGCAAAATCCATTCCGCACCACTTTGAAACCAAGGTTGAAACCATAACGTTTGCTGGTATTTATACAAAACTCATCATTCCAGGGTTTCTCAGGTGGTGCAGGATTTCGTCCATCCACAGCATTTCAGACCTGCTCAAGCAGCCCTCCTGCTCTCTGTCAGACCTGACTCCATCTGACCCCCCGGCCTGCCATGGCGGTTTGAGGCTTGTGAAGTTCGAGCCAACTACGTCAGCGCGTCGCAGCGCGCGACGAAACTAGCATGGTCATCCTTTGCTTACCAAGCAACCAGCGGTGGTGCTGTGGATGGACAAAATCCTGCACCACCTAAGAAACCCTCGTTTCTGATGATTGGACTGTAAATACCAACAAACGTTTTGGTTTCAACCTTGGTTTCAAAGTGGTGCGAAATGGATTTCGTCCACGGAAGGCAGTGTCTCGTCAAAGCCCTAGAATTTGTGTATGCTAAAGGTACAGCCTTTGCAGTAAGGCGTCCTCCCTTCGAGGAGCCGCTGATTATACGCATGACAAGGGTCAATGATACATTGAGACAAACAAGTGGAGCATACTTTGTTCCAGAAAGAATAATGACGAGTGTGGCTTACGGCGGAATGTCACGGTTTGGTGCGTGGGGCAAAGTGGGTTGTCTTGCAGATGCACATTTCACATTCAGTCTTAAGGGCAACTGCACGATTCGGTAAATACGGAGCACGGACTTCCGTTCAGCTATACATGTCTTTCTAGGGCACGCAAATGGAAATCCGACTTCCTGCCAGCTTGTCCCTCAACTTGTGCCCCGGACATTGCACAAAGGAAACCGATCAATTTCCGGTTTGCCATCTTGTCACGCTAGGCAGGTTGATGCTCCGAGGGCGTTGCCCAAAGCAAGGACAAACTACGTGTCTTCAAATAGGGGACCTCCCCCCCAAAGAGAAAATGCCCGTTGTCCTTTTGGTGTCCTTTTACGTTTAAACCAAGCCCCAACACGCTACCCTCCAAACAAAAACATACCCAAACAAGGCAGTACCCTCTCACCAAGCCAAAGCGAGTCGAGATTCACGGTCAAGTCATGTCGACGGAGCACCCAAGCATGGCACGTGCTGGTGCCGAGTCCAAAGAGCAAAGCAACAAACTGGGTGTGTCCAAACAGGCAAAGCACTTCGTATGGGCCTAAGAAAGCAACTAGCCAATACTCAGTTACACAGACTATGGCGCCTTCCTCCTAATTTCCAGCAAGGAGGGGCTAATGTCCTGTACCTTGAAGATATATCCCTTGGTACAAACTAGATTATGCTTGGTCATACAGCAGTGGGTCAAAAATAGGTGCCCAAAATGGCTTGCCCTGCTAAAAGGACACATGGACAAAACCAATCATGCGGTCCAACTCCTGGTATAGTTTTGACCCACACCCGTCCAACTTGCAATCAGTACACGTCACGACCCGTCGGCCTTAGAGAGCTGGCCACTGTCGGTCACCTGAAGCGATGCTCGCATTGCAACAGCTTTGGCCACCTTTCGTCTTCAATCGAATCCGCGCCCGAAAACCTGGCAAGAATTAACAGAACGAGAAAAAGGGGGGGGGGGGGAAAAGAAACGCAAGCAGCTAGGGTGTTTCGGGGGGGAGCACAAATTCCAAGGGGCCCAAAGTTCGGGGGGGACCAGAACTACTAGGGGACCAAACCAAAAACCCAAAGAGGGCGACCAAAAACTGCTGCCATTTTCGGTGTGGGCTAGCCGCAGAAAGCGGAAGCGGGAAAAACCGATTAGGTGGAGCATCGTAGGCCGTGAGGCGATGGCAAGTTGTAGGAGAACATAGATACATGTGCATATATATATATATACATAATGTATATTAATAGGTGCGATCCGGCTGGCAAGAACTGTTGCATTCACCAATCGCAAATGGCTGAGGATTGTTGCTTTTTCACCGGCCCCCCAAGCACAGACCGCGAAAGCCCCAGAAGTTGATACTTCAAACCTTGGGCGAATCCATCCAAAACCATCTTCGCAGAAAGGTCACCAGCTCCACTCCCGAGGCCGATCTGAGAGCATCGCCATGTCGTGCAGCGCTCGTAGCAGCCTAAGAGTCAAGAGTGCTGAACAGGGCTGTGGGAAACGACCACTTCTCTGATACAACGAAATGGCTTCCCAAAGACTAACCCCTCACATAAAGAGGGGATTCCCTTGTAAATTATCAGAAGTGGGGCTTTCACCCGGAGTGATCCCACAACCCTGGTGCGGAAGAATGGAAAATCGCAGTCGATGCCACTGCGCTGCAGTTGTCTATTTCGGCCGAAGCTATATCGGAAATCAGGGGAACCTTGCGATCCGCACACGTCAGGCCGTGTCATACTTTCTGCACAGGTGTTCACATGCACGCAGACATGAAGGAGAGCAAAAGCCGCTCCCCCCCCCTCTCACGCAAAGCGAAGTGGCACTTAGTCAGACCCTGCTTCCAGCCAGCCACCTTCCCTCACTGAGCCCTTATTCTGGCAAAGTGGCATGCACTGCTCCTCGACTCGAGCCCGGGTTGCTCGCTCCTGTGCCTCATCCTGGCAAGACACAATGCTTGGCACATGCGCATGTACAAGGATAATTTTGAAGCACGGCACTCACACACGACGATGCATGTTCAGACTTGCCCTTTAGAGAAGCGTGCTTCTGAAGCGCCTGGATTACACTGTCATTCGGCGTGGGCATCTCCAGCTTCGTATGTTGGAAAGCCTTCCATCCACAGATCCCCCTTCTTTGCAGTAGCTAGTTCGGGATGCGCAGGTTCAGTGGAGTCCGAAAATATGGCCCGGGTGGAGAATAGGGCAGTGGTCATTTCAAACACCTATTGAATGGGCTGATATAAGCATCCAATTTGACCTCTTTTTGAAAGGACAATATAAGCTAAGCATAATTAGGCCGCCTGAAAGATAGAAGCAAACTGAAACTCAAGTTGTAAGTGCGCTCAATGCCAAAGTCCACCGGACATTTCTGAGTGCAAGAGGAAAACCTTTTCAGTTGACACCGTGCCCGCTAATACTGATTTCGCTTCTCACTTCCGACTGCTTTCCAGGCATGAGCTAGGACACCATTACTTCTTTCCATGCGAAGATTCGGGGCGCTGCACATTCCGCGGCGTGCGCCTCCCGCTCGGCGCGCTGCCGCTCTTGCGCAAGCTCTTCTCGCAGAGCCCGCAACTCCTGGCGCGCGCGTTGCGAAGGTCGGCTGGCGCAGGGCACCTCAACAACTTCTGCAGCCCGTAGCCACGAATGGAACAAGTTCGAAAGAACGCTATGAGTGACCCAAATTCGAATTAATCCGGGGAAGCATACGGTACGAACCAAGGGTAGTTCCTGCTTCTGGTGGATAATTATCGCTGCAGAGAAGTTATTTCAATGCTCTTGCGCATGAAATCCAAAGTTGGACCCGCACAAGCTCCACTCCTGAAATCAATCAAACAGCGGTGCATGCCTGCGGATCGACGGCGGGTGCGCCCTTTCTCTCACTCCTGCCAGGGCAGGGAACGAGTTGAAGCACCGATCACCTCTTGACGTAGCATGTGACTTTGACCCGGAAACCAACTTTTGCGTGTTGAGGCTCACATGGTTGTGGGTCAAAACCTAAGGTGCCTTTTTGGGGATGGTTACCACTCCACTGTTGTCTTTCTGGAAGGCTTTCTGGGTGTTCACCAGGGCACCGGTAAGTTTTGACCCCTTGCATGGCCTCGGATCTACCAAAGCGTCCAAAGGGTGCCTCAACGTCACACACCGTGTCTTGACCACTCCCTTGAACACAAACAAGGAGGAAAAGTGAGAAAGAAAGGAATTGTTATCCATAGATGGTCAATGGAGACCAGGCCACAGGCATACTCAATGATACACACCTCTGGCCCCAACATACCGCTAGCATTTCGACTCCTGCCATTCTCTGCAGCGAGGTCAGCCGCCTCCCTCCGCATCCGTTCCTCCTGCACGGAGAAAGGTATGTCCCAAAAGGCAAACACTTTCTCACGGAACTCTCTCAGTCCGGTCAGTACAAAAATCGTGTATTTGACCCAAGCAAAATCTGCTATCTTAAGGAATACCGATGTGGCAGTCGTGGCTGCACCTATGGCCGGCCGGTGCCGGTGGTTTCGGGAAGCTTGAGGGTTGGCTGCGGGTGTTGGCTCAGTGTTCAGGTTTTGGGTTGGTTTTGGGTTGGCTTTCATGGTTGATGGGGGTGGTTCACACATGGTATAGATGTTTTGTGTGGAAGCTAGGGAGGTTGATGTGGGGTTAGAGTGGGGTTGTGGGGTTAGGGTGGGTTGAGGGCTTTTTCAGGCTTTGGTTTAGGGTCAGGCTGGTGTATGCATGGTTTAGGGCGGGCTTGAGGTAAAAGTCTAGGGTGAGATTCGGGTGCAAATCCAGGGCTGGTTTGGAGTGATTTGAGCCGAAGCCGCGGTAGGTCGAATCAGTGGGTGCAGCGCACAGCCAAGCCGGGAAGCTGAGTCGAACTCTCATGGCTCTTCTGTGGGCTATCTGCACATAGGTGTCCTTTTAGAGCAAATAGATGGCCCTGGTAGATGATTAAACCACCAGGTAAACCAGGACCATCTAGTTTTCTGCCAAATCAACCAAACAGTACACCTATGTATCTGCACATTAGGAAACAGTGTGCTCCATAAACGTACCCACTGGGCGCACTATTGCTGCAAGGCGCGTGAGCCAACTAGACCAAACAAATCATTGGGCCCTCATGTCCGTCAAGGCTGGCCTCCGCTTTGGCGTTCCTGAGCCGCACATCGAAGCTGTGGCACTCCCGCTCAAGGTCGTCCAGGGCCTGGCGAGTCAAAGATGCTCTCGCTTATGAAGCTCCCACAACTGCAAGTGAGTCACAATCAAAACCCGGTATTAAAATGGTCGACCCAGAACCATGTACAGAATGAAGAAAGCGCATATCCGCAGCTATTTATGACAAGGGGATTGTCCCTTACTAACCTTCATCTACTCAGGTTTGGATTGTGGCTCAGGTGCCGAAGTACAGGGTTTCTGCACAAAGAACAAGGGTGTCGCGTTGCTTCCGCAATAGCTTAGAGCTTACCCGAGTTCTCATTGTTGCCCGCCAAATCTAGCGACTCAGCTTCCCTCGAATTGGTGGCTTGGATTGGTTGGTCCCATTTACTGTCCACAAGAACCAGGGGGTCGAATCCCCAAACCACCAAAAAAGGGTGTCCCCTGACCTCCGCCAGATTCTGCGTATCGTCCGCATCTGCCCGTGCCCGAGACAGCCTCTTGCTCTGCGGCAATCTCCAGATCCAGCTTCTGGGCCCTCTGCATGGCTTGGTCCCGCTGCTCCGTGAGCGCTTGCAGCTCCTGAAGGAAAAAAAACAAGCCGAGCACAGCTGACTAGATGCACACAGCTTTGTGTATGACCTAGCTCGAAACAAACCATGCAAATGCCAGACGACTGCAGCACTACTTCTCAATGCAACCCATCACAGTTCCAAGAAAGGAGCAGAACAAAACCAGCCATCAAGCAAGCAACATGCAATGCAATCCACAAGACCAAAGCACCAGACGATCGAACTGGGTTGTTGGCTCGATCAAATCCAACTTGAAGCTCGTTTAGAGGGGCCTCGGTGCGAGATGCAAAGCGGTTTCACAGGGGGCATCCTTCAGTTTCCTCCCTACGCCGGCCTCTGGGTGACGGAAGTTTTCGGAAATGAAGGGAGTTTCTGTCAGGGTGTTAAGGTTTTGAGAATTTTCTTTGTTGTATTGTTAGACAGACCTGAATTGATTTACGAAGCAACTCCTGCCTCATTCCCAAGTACGCATGGTCGACCCAAGGCCCCTCGTGAGAAAAGGGTGTGTCTTTGTTAGGGAACCTCCCCAAAAAAAATAGAACCACAAAAAGAAAGTGGGTGTCCGTTTGGTCTGCCTTACACCCCAAATAAAAAGTACCCTGAAAAAACAACAGACCCCAATCTATTGCCAAACATGAGAAAGGCACGAGCCCAGCTCACTCTAAACACCCTGCCTGCGTCCATGTTGACTGAGCCTGTAGCAGGGCCTGCCAAGGAGGCAAGCTCAAGGGGAATGCAAGGCCCGAAATTCAGCGCCAAGTTGTTCGCAGCAAGGTTGACTTGAACCAATCAGGGAGCTGTGTCGCCAGAAGCTCTCACCAGCCGATCGAACGAAGCCTCAGTCTCTTGCAATCGGCTACGCGGAAAATATTCTTCGGAGGTGCTTCGCCCGCTTTGCTGAAGCTTTGCGCCATTGAGATTCAGTCGGCTCCAGCCGGCCGGAACTTTGCAAGGATCTGGAAGCCCTCATCTGATTCCAGTGTCATGTCTAGCTCATAGTCCCAAGCTTCTGTTGGAGATCTGGGGTTCTCCCGCTCAAGGCATTGGCGGAACGCAGCCCATACGCGTCTTAAGGCAGAACGGATGCTTGGACATGACCCTCATAAACCATCCAACTGGTGGTTTCCTTTAACGAGACCAAAGCCTGGGTGCATTCCCCTACCTGTCGCACCAAGCTAAACACAGCAAACGCACTGGACATGACCCTTATGAACTATCCCTTGTGGTTTCCTTTGAGGGACCAAAGCCATTCCTACCTATCGCACCCAGCTAAACACAGCAAACGCAATGCACAATACCCTTATATTCCATCGAACTAGCGGTTTCCTTCAAGGGGACCAAAGCCTGGGTGCTACCTATCGCACCAAGCTAAACACAGCAAACGCACTGGACATGACCCTTATGAACTATCCCTTGTGGTTTCCTTCAAGGGGACCAAAGCCTGGGTGCTACCTATCGCACCAAGCTAAACACAGCAAACGCACTGGACATGACCCTTATGAACTATCCCTTGTGGTTTCCTTCAAGGGGACCAAAGCCTGGGTGCTACCTATCGCACCAAGCTAAACACAGCAAACGCACTGGACATGACCCTTATGAACTATCCCTTGTGGTTTCCTTTGAGGGACCAAAGCCATTCCTACCTATCGCACCAAGCTAAACACAGCAAACGCAATGCACAATACCCTTATATTCCATCGAACTCGTGGTTTCCTTCAAGGGGACCAAAGCCTGGGTGCTACCTATCGCACCAAGCTAAACACAGCAAACGCACTGGACATGACCCTTATGAACTATCCCTTGTGGTTTCCTTTGAGGGACCAAAGCCATTCCTACCTATCGCACCAAGCTAAACACAGCAAACGCAATGCACAATACCCTTATATTCCATCGAACTCGTGGTTTCCTTCAAGGGGACCAAAGCCTGGGAGCATTCAACCACATTCCCTACCTGTCGCACCAAGCCAAACACAGCGAACGCAATGCCGGACAAACGCCTTGAACTCTTCGCGCAAAAGTTCATCCCCACCCTTGGGCTTCGTCATTCCACTGTCACGCTGTGTACGTGCGCCCAAAACTCCCTGGGCAGAGCTCGGTGTTGCATTTTGTGCCAGGCGTCTAAAACCAACACAATACGTTTGCATTGCATGTATATATATATATATATATATATATGTGTGATAGGTGTATATATATATGCGATATGTGCATGTAAACGTGTTTTGCGTGTTTGACACGGCTCTTGGATGGCCGGAGGATGTCAGCTTTCGGGCGGCTTGTCAGCTGGATGCCTTCTGCCGGTGCGGCTTCCTTTACGCTTGTTCCCTGTCGAGCCGAGCTTGGCGAATCCGGTTGGCCATGTTGCGCAAGCTCGCAGCACTGGGTCCCAGGCTGGTGCAAAGGCTTTTTCTTCAAGAGGCACATGGAAACTTTATCGAAAGCTTGAGCTGAGTTCTGAATTTGAGTATGTAATAGCTTGTAAAGGGCACCAAGCAGCAAGGTTGACCAGGGCGTGTTCATCCAGTACATCTATGTCATGGCTGCTACGTCCTGGCTTTAAGCTGTCCAGCACAGGCAAGCTTCCCGTGCACTCATCCGAGCGCCCATATTAGAGCATATCCTTGTATGGGGAAGTAATGTAGTTCTGAGCAACAGGCATTAACACAAAAGACATCTGACAAGCAGTCAGAATTCATGCAGCATCAGGGTCCATCAAGCTTTCACGAGAAGGTGCTCTGAGCAGTGCAACTGGAACATGCGTAACTTGCCTGACTAGTGCATCAACTGGCATGCAAGAATCGAGGAATCAAACCAAAAGCAAAAGGGAAAAGCAGAACGTGCAAGTGCGTCAGAATCGGAGACCACTTCATGAGTCATGGTTTGCCTGATAAGAGTAGCTGACAGCAAGCCATTGAAATGTGGAGGGGTCGCTTAAAGCGTCCCATTAAGAGCACAAACAAACTTGGCCCCAAGTCTGACTCTCTTTTTGTCAGAAGGCGAGCAGGTACCTGAATGCAGCGCACACAACCCATGCATGAACACACACGCAATGGTGCGAAGGCTGAAGTGGCGAGCAGTCAAAAATGCAGAAGAAAACAAGATGTTTACTTGGTGAGACTGTTTTGAGCTTGAATATAATTTGCACGGTTTTCGCACAGCTATACCAAATTGAAGACGTTGCCAGCTAAACACAACACGTCGGTCCTGCCCTCTCATGCCAGAGCGGTCACAATTGTTAATTGTGTGACACGCAGGTAGCAGTCTGGATGTTTTCCAGGGTAAATGGAACACAAAATGATTCCCAGATTCAGCGAGGCACGGGGCCAAGGATTCCAAGGTCCGGATCCAAAACTGCGACTGGATTCCTTCGGCACCAGCTCCGAGCGCACTGGTTGACAACCATCTTCTGCGTCACCTTCCCTGCCCGCGTTTCCTTCGGCCCCTGCACGTTGCACGGAAACCGAGCCGCTGTTGATGAACATCTGCGCAAAATCATGAAAATGAAAGCTTACCAAGGAAAGAGCGTCCATCAAGGATGTGGTTTTGGTGAGCAAGCAAGAGGGGCTTCCAAAAACTGTGCTTTTCGGAGGGAGGAACCGCTCCCCAAAAACAACAGGCATGATTTCGTTAGGCAAAGGATTGCAGGCAACAAGGGCTCCCAAAAAAACTGTGCTTTTCGGAGGGAGGAACCGCTCCCAAAAAAAACAGGCATGATTTTTGTGAGGCAAAGGATTGCAGGCATGCAACAAGGCCCGAAAAACTGCGCTTTTGGGAAGGAGGAACAGCTCGCTCCCCAAAAACAACAGGCATGATTTCGTTAGGCAAAGGATTGCAGGTAACAAGGGCTCCCAAAAAACTGTGCTTTTCGGAGGGAGGAACCGCTCCCAAAAAAAACAGGCATGATTTTTGTGAGGCCAAGGATTGCAGGCATGCAACAAGGCCCGAAAAACTGCGCTTTTGGGAAGGAGGAACAGCTCGCTCCCCAAAAACAACAGGCTGATTTCGTTACGCAAAGGATTGCAAGCATGCAACAAGGACTCCCAAAAAACTGCGCTTTTGGGAAGGAGGAACAGCTTGCTTCCAAAATTACTTCGCTTCGGGCAATCCCCCCCTCCACACTCACGAGCTTACGCATGCTAGAGACTTCGACTCCAAAACCAGACTGGCGAGCTGCTCTGGCGGGATACTGGCGGGATCCACTGACGAATACTGGCGAGCCGCTAGCAGCTCTGGCGGGATACTCGGCGGGATCCACTGGCAAGCCGCTCTGGCGGGATACTCCGCTCTGGCGGGATACTCGGCGGGATCCACTGGCGGCTCTGGCGGGATATACGGCGGGATCCACTAGCCAGCCACTCTGGCGTGATACTCGGCGGGATGCACTGGCGAGCTGCTCTGGCGGGATACTCGGCGAGGTCCACTCACGAGCTGCTCTGGCGGGTACCAGCTCTGCGTGTTGACCGGACTCTGACTCTTTCCTTCGCCCTTCCCCTTCTTCTCGTCGTGGTCCTTGGCCTTCGCCTTTGGTAGCAGATCAGGCTTGCCACTTTTCGGGATCTTCGGATGCTTCGCAGGCCTTGTTCATGTCCTTCAGCGTGTTCTTGACCGACTCCACCATGTACTCCTCCCTGTCGTTCCTCAACTGGGTATCAATGAGACTCAATGGAATCTGTATGTCTTTGTCGGGATGAGGGTCCGGAACTCTTGCATACAAGCCCAGACCAAATTGCAGCTTTTTGCTGCCTTTGGTCTTCTTGTAGAAAATATCCCGCAAAGTCGCAAAGTATTCTCTTGCGGGCGATCTTCCATTCACGTGGCATGGAGAATATCATACTGCTTGCTCCGAAACAAGTCAGGTTCTTGACTCCGGGATACTCCATAGCGAACACGACATCTGATCTGTCACTTGGTAGGAATGATTTCCAGCATCGTCGTGAAGGTCCATGACCGCTTCCTTGGCGTCATCGGGTGCATTTCGTAGCATAGTTTGTCGTCGTAGTACTATGGACAACTTGATGTCAATAGTCGCGAAACGTTCTCTTCCAGAGTCGGCGAGAGAAACGAGATTGGGATTGATTACATACGCAGCAGAGGTCCATAACGTCCGCGCCCTCGATGTCCGGATCAGCTGATGCACTGGATGTAGCCATTAAGAGACGTTCTCCAGCCATCGGGATGCGTGATCTTCGGCCAAGGTGGGTTTAGGGTGCCAAGGTGTGTTTAGGGTGGATTTGCTCAAGATCCACCCGGTTTATTGCTCCATGGCTTCGCGTCTCTTCTTTGCAGACTTTTTCGCTTTCGCCCCAGAATATCATCTTCGCCAATATCGGCTTCAACTTTCGTCTTCGCGGGCATTCTCAGAATTTCGCATTCGCCAATTTCAGCTTCGAATTGCGTCTTCGCGGGCATTTTCGGATTCGCCCGAGATTATCTTCGCAGAATTCGGCTTTGAATTTCATAATTTCGGCTTCGCCCCAACTATCGTCTTCGCTTATTTCGGCATTGAATCTCGTTTTTGCGTACATATGCAGCTTCAATGTTCGTCTTCGCAGCCATGTTTATTCGGCTTCGTGCTGCATGTAAACGGTCATCACGTTTCAGCTTTGTTGTCTTCGCGCTTTCGTCTTTGGCCACCCAAAATGGGGACCCTCTGTCCTGGGTCAATGTTGTCATGTTTATGTGGAAGTGCATATACGGAATACATATATATGCAAATATGTATATATATATATATATATGTATATCGATCTCTATATCTGTATATACGTGTAAATGTGTATATATATATATATATGGATATATGTGTATATGTATGAATATATGTGTAAATGTATGAATAGATGTATATATGTATGGTTGTATGAGTATACTTACACAAATATGTATGCGTATAAATATACATGTATGTAGCTATATATGTATGTATGCATGTGTGTATATATATATATATGTGTGCATATGTTTATACGTAAACATGCTTCTGTGTATGAGTATATAAGTGCATATGTATAGGTGTATATATATATATATATATTCACATACGCATGTTCGTATATGTGTATTGAAACATGTATATATATATATAATGGTGTCTCGAATCTAATCTGTGATCCACGGCCATGTTACTTGTTGGACCTGCGTTTGCAAAACAATTGAGCCCAGTGGCGTTGCAACTTGAGGGAAACAGTCGCTCCATCTCCTGACAGCCTTTCTGAACATGTGGCTCAGGGGGCTGATTGCCGTCATGGCACGCACATGGGACGGCCTGAGAAGGGGACAGCAATGTGCATCATATGGTACCATTTTGGGGTAGATGCACCACCCATTCAGTCTATGTGAGTGTGGATTGAGATGTTCTTTGGGGGTACAGGATATTGACCCATGGCCATATGGCCCTAGTAGACCAATCAGTCTTTTCAGTCGACTCCCCTTCTCCCCGCCGGCGACTCGGGCAACTCGAAGCCGTCAATCATGAAGCGCCGGGTGAACTTCATGCCTGGAGAAATAGCGGCCATCACCAATGGAAACGAACAAACATAGGGGGTCTTTGAAAAATAGAGGGCCATGGATTGTGAAACAACAAGGTGAACCAGGGCCATCTACTTTCTACCAAAACAACCAAAAGGGACACCTAAGCGAACAACTCTGTGCAGTTCTGCTCTTCTTGACCAAATTGCACAGACGAGTGCGCCCTAGACAAAATGTCAGTGACTGATGTTCCTAATTGTTTTTAGACACCATCCATCCGATGGCTCCTCATTTTGGGAACCGCCTATATTAATTTTGGGGGCCAGAGGGTGGCAACCCTAAAATGAAAGCCATAAACTCCACAGTTCAAGGGGTTCATGCCAGCGGATAAAAGCTCACACATGCCTGTGGCCTATCTTTGCGGTAATGTTTGGCGACCAAGATGAGTTGATGGAGATAAGCAGCTCGACTCGGGTGGAAGTATTCTCTCCGGGGGGAAAAGAAAAACAAAAAAGAAGTACAACCAGCTGCGTCCGCACGACTTCCAATCAAAAAAATGGGCTCCCTGGCTGTGACTTGTGCCATGAAAAAACTGGTTGCAACTTCAAAGGCCCTCAACCGCGACAGCAACTCCGAGTGAGCCAGTGCCCCAGGCACCAAATGAACACGATAAAGAACAGAAAACGCTTGGCTCCACTTGTGTTCTTAAACACAGAAATGAGTGGCCTTAAACACTGAAGATGAGTGGCTTTAAGTCATTTCCTGAACACTAAAGGACTCTAAACACTTAAAAAGTGTTTTTTCTTAAGAATATTTTTTGTTTAAAAAAAAAAGAAGCATTGAGTGGGACCCAGGCTTCAAACTCGGCCCGTCCTCTGCGCATCTTCAGGTTCCGCGTCACGGACCACAGCACCCTGGGCTGGCCTCGGTCAGGCAAACGCTCCCGAAGGAAATGGCGGCAGATGCCTGTTGCGAGTTGCACCCAACGTGGGTTGATCGTGTTGGAGCGTTTCTTTGGGTGGCAAGATACTTGGTTGCTGTTGACCCCTGCGCAAAAAGTGAAACTTTTTGTGGGTTTAGTCGAAACCCACTTGACTTCCAAAAAAGTTTAAGTCTAAAGATCCAACCCAATAGCAGTCCAGGACAAGTTCAACAGGGTGGCACTGAACAGCTGGACTGTTTTCTTGGCTTCAAACAGCAGTTGCTAAGACTTTCTTTGGACAAACTGTTGCGACAGGACTTGCCTGCAACGTGAAGAAAGGCTGGGCGTCTAGATCCCGACCATCTGGACATGGTGAGCCCAGCGTTGTGCGTGAACTTGTGTTGAGCAGCTTTCACTGCATGGCTGCGCGCCCATGAGCTTGTCAAGTCAGAAAAAGCAAATTGTGCTATTCTGTATCTTGGAAGTGGATAGCAGTAAGTCCCCGGGAATCCTTCCGAGTCCTTTCCTCTTGTATCAGCACCCAGGTGATAAAAGCGAGGGCTTTGCAAACAAGCTCGTGAATGATAGAACACTGGTAGTGATTGATCAACAAAGTCCACCCGAGCTGCCTTTGAGAAGTTATGCTTGTAGTGAGAAAAGGGAAACAGCTGGAGAGGCGAAAAGAAAGGAAAGAGCTGGAGGAAGGAGTGAATAAGGCCAGAAGTTTGTTTCATTAAAATGCCAGGCCTCTCGCCGCTGCCCAACAATTAGCGCAGACAGCCACATTTTCCGTGCGCGCATTCTTCTGCTTCTTCAGCAAGAAGGAAGGCACCTGCCGGGCAAGGACAAAATGGGGGGATCCGCTGGTTTCTACGCCTCCATTTGCGTTTCCGCCAGCTGGGAAAAAATGAAAAGAGATATCCAATAGTGATAGATTCCCTTTCAAAACCAACAGGGGAAACGAAACAATATTCTTAAGCTAATGAGAAGTACATCTTTCCGTGGCAGGCAAAGGGCTGAAGCTAGAAAGATCCGACCTTCGCAGCCCATCCCCGGGCTGCTGACATGTTTCGGGCGAAAGCTTCAAGGCTCCGACAACAGGTAGACTTCGCGTTCATCTTTCACCTTTCTTGTGTTTCCCACTACAAGTTTGTCCCTGCAAATCAAAAGTTAGACACAGCAAAGCAGCAGAAGCGCAAGAAGCCGCAGCACTACCCTTCCATCCCGCTTCGAGGGTTCCCCCGCGCACTTTCAGAACCTTGAACTGGACCTTCCAAAAACGAGGAAAAATACGTTGGACCCCCATTCCACGGGTTTTGGACCCGGCTTTATCCAACTTGACCTTCCAAAAACGAGGAAAAATACCTTGGACCCCGGTTCCACGCGTTTTGGAACCCGGCTTTACCCCAAACCAACCCGGTCAAACGACAGCCAAGTCGCTTTGTCCTGGCCTGATAGTCCTCCACCGGGGGGGGCGGCGGCGACAGCTGAGTCGGGGGCGGCATCAGCGCCGTGATGCCCTTCTCCTGGGAGCTATAGGGCTGTGGTCAAAACCGTTTTGGGATCCCATTTTGGTTGGTAGGTGAATTCACCACCCATTTCAGAACCTATTTTGGGGGGGGGGATTGGGATGTTCACTGGGGGCTAACCGGGGTTTTGACCCATGGCCCCATGGCCCCATGGCCATATAAGGGCTGGCTCCTGTTTTCAGAGGCTCGGTATGGGTTAATCCCTTAGGTCCGTTCGGGCTCCCTTTTGTGAAATAAACACACCAATTCTGTTGGGGGGGGGGGGGGGGGCGCTTGGGCTGTGGGTCGAACATAGGTGTCCAAAATGGACCCTGGGAAACGGAAAAAAGGACTAAAACCTGCGGTCCGATTCCTGGTGGTTTCATTTTGGACCCATACCCATTTGGGCAAGGAAACTTCCCTGGCCTCCTGGCCCGCCGCCAGCTTCACGCTGCGGAAGTCCTTCTCCGGCTCCTGGCTCCGAGAAAAAGAAATCTGAGGGCATTTGGCGAGCATGGGTCCAAGCCGCTGAGGAAGCAAAAAAATGTTCCCCCCAGGTATGGCGTTTGTGAGATTGCAAGTGGACCGTTTGGGTGACAGCATTCAGGTGGGGCGTCATGTCCACCGACCACTTCTTCAGCTGGTTCCCTATTACATGTCATGGCCATTTCTGAGCATCAAAAACCACAAGGAGAAACAAGAAACCGACAGCAATCCGCCTCCTGCGCCCCCATCATGGAGGAGACGGCATCTTGCGCCTTCTTCTCCTGATGCGAAGAGAGCACTTGCTAAGCCAGTTGGAATCAAGCAAGCAAATCGCTCAAATGGGGGGACAAAAACCAACAAAAATGGAGACAGCGACACACCGCATGGGAAGGCAGAGCCCCATCAAGACAAGAGTCTTGCAGAGGGTCAGCGCAGGCTTGAGAGCGTCCGGCGTGCAAACAAGTCGGCTTGCAGCTTGGCCCTTCCGACCGCCCGCTACATACAATATCCGCACTGGTCAAAAAACCCTTCGACGCACCGAGCACAACCAACTGCATCTAGCAGCTATGCAACATGGCCCGCGGCTTATCTTGCCTTTCCAGTGCCAAACAAAAATCCAAAATCCTGAAGTGCCAGCCAAGCTCAACCAAACACCTGAGCCCATTGAGGATCAAGCACAAGCAACAGAATTCGCTCCTTGCTGTTACACCCCAGGTGTGTATCATGAGCAGAACCAGATTAAGCGCCGGCATGCTGCCGATCAAGCAAAAGCACCTCCATGCCTGGACTTGGATCTCCGCAAAGATCAACATTGTAGCTGCTAAACGAGATTGCCTCATTGAAAAAAAACATGGACAGATATGTACCTGCGAATCTCTCTCCATCCAAACACAAAAATGACGAAAACTCCCTGACGACTCCTCCTCCTCCTCCTCCTCCTCCTCCTCCTCCTCCTCCTTTGCTCTGGCGGCCTCGAGCTTCCTCTCCTCCAGCTGAGCCTTGCGCTCCGCAGCCAGACGCTCCTCTTCCTCACAAAGTGGAACGCCGCCGAGGCCCTTTTGGCCAAGAAGGCTGATAAAGATGTTGCTGACTGACTGACTGACTGACTGACTGACTGACTGACTGACTGACTGACTGTCTGTCTGTCTGTCTGACTGACTGACTGACTGACTGACTGACTGACTGACTGACTGACTGACTGACTGACTGACTGACTGACTGACTGACTGACTGACTGACTGACTGACTGACTGACTGACTGACTGACTGACTGACTGACTGACTGACTGACTGACTGACTGACTGACTGACTGACTGACAGACAAACTGACTGACTGACTGATTGGACTGTCTAACTGACTGGACTGTCTGACTGACTGGCTGGCTGACTGACTGTCTGACTGACTGTCTGACTGACTGACTGACTGACTGACTGACTGACTGACTGACTGACTACTGACTGACTGACTGACAGACAGACAGACAAACTGACTGACTGACTGACTGATTGGACTGTCTAACTGACTGGACTGTCTGACTGACTGGCTGGCTGACTGACTGTCTGACTGACTGTCTGACTGGCTGACTGATTGGACTGTCTGACTGACTGATTGGACTGTCTGACTGACTGATTGACTGGCTGACTGACAGACTGACTGACTGTCTGACTGACTGACTGACTGTCTGACAGTCTGACTGACTGACTGACTGACTGACTGTCTGTCTGACTGACTGACTGACTTGCTGACTGGCTGACTGCACCTGCCTTCAAAACCTATGCATGCCAGGTCCCATTGACAGACAGGCATTCGGCACCCTGGAACACAATAAGTGGCGGGGATGTTCATCTTGGCCGACCTCACTGATGGCTCGCGTGATTCAAAACTTCTCGACCATCAGAAGCACTTCATGCCAAGACGAACTTGGGCTCCCCAGCGCTCTGATTGGAGGCAAAAGTTCCCTTCGGCCGGCCTCCTTGGCCAACTTTTCTGCCAGCTCCTGCTCCTTCTTCTCCCTGTCCTTATCCTGGCTATGTCTGACCACTCCGGCTGTCTTTTTTGGGTGGAACGGTCACGATGCTC